GCCAGTGTCGAAGTGGACGATAATGGTATTTGCCCTCCATTTGCTCTTTCTGCTCGTAGGACACGATATTTAATATATTTTGTTGTCTCCATGGAAAAATGTTTTTCATTAAAATGCGGCTTGCTCCCTTGCCTCAGTCAGAAGACAACAACGGCCTATTCAGTGCTGAAGCACAGCACTGTGAGCAACAATGAGGACGGGTGTATGCTTTCAATTTACCAATTGTATCTACAGACGTAAGAATTATTGTAATGGTATATTGGCCACTCTTGGGTCGTCTAGCATTCCACATCTGAACGGAGAACATTGATTTTGCCTTCGTGTGGCAAAAGTGGCTGTCGCTTTTTCTAACCACATTGGAGTGCTCAGACACATTTTTAGAGCGTTTAAAAGGAAGTTTGGAATAACAATGCTATTCAATTGCACCAAACAGGAAAGGATATGCCTGTCCCCTAGGGCTCTAACAGAGCGAAGGTAGACGTTGTTACAGTAGTAGCAGTATCGGTGGGGCTGGACTGTCTACCATGGAGAGGGAACAGTGTTCTGGTACGAATCTGCTCTCTGTGAGAAGGGATTGTAATCCCAGTGTCCTGGGTGAATTGCACTTATCTGACTTGCACTGACTTGACTTGCACATTATCTGACTGTCCTGAACTGGGCTGCTCAGTCCTAATTACTGCCATACAATCCCCCAAGTTGGTTCTGCACTTCAGTGGTGAATGTAAACCAACAAATACAGAATCACCAGGGATGAAAAGCACTGTATTAAATGCAATCAATATATTACTTTTTGTAGCTTGTTACACAGTTTTCATAGCAGCAGAAAGCAGCAGCAGATAATTTCTATAAAAATACAATTGAAACATCAATCACAAGACATTTTTTTCCAGGTGCATTTCATTCTCGTATCAAAAATAGATCTCCATCAATCCATCCATCCATCGATATTCTGTACAAGCTATTTACATCAGTCAGCTAATTCAACCATTTTCATTCAGTACTCCGCTCTATAAAGCTATAAGAAGTTATGGCTTCTGGTTCCTTCGTTACGGAAACATAAGTATTTTTATTAGCATAAAGTTTCAATCATACTGTGATGCAGATTAATTTCGGCACTAATGCTGAATATATTATATTATGACTCAATACCCGACTGGACGTTTTCTTTGATTCACCATGTACAGTAATTAACCGCACTATATGAGAATTAAGACTGCTGTTGTCCGTGTGTTTGTGCTCTTGGCCTCTGTGTTGCCATGGGAATCACAATATGTGAGCTCCCAGGACCTGAACAACAGGACTCTCAACACTAATAATCTTTCTGTTAATCAGTGAAATAGCCCAGGGAAGTTAAAAAGGGGCGATGTGGTTTATGCTCAGTGTTATTACGACTTCTGTTACTTATCAGACCATCGGTTGTTAATAAAAAGGGAATGAACTGCAAAAAAGAAAAAGAATGTTAAAAGATATTTTTGCTGCCTGCTTGTTGTTTGCTTGAAACCAATCTAGTTTGTTTTTTTTTTCCACTTTGGCTTATATAATGTAATTTCAGTTTGGCAACTGTTTCTACTGCCTTCAGTTTCCACAGCAAATCAGAGTCTAAGGGGGAAAGGGCTGGTGTTGTGTCCTCTGAGGATTTTCTCCGTGGTATGTGGCACCCCAGTCCAGATTGAGCAGGGAAACTGGCCACGGGTGCCAGCCAACAGGATTGAACACAGTCAGGCGATCTTAAAGTGGAAGGTGTCGTTTCTGCCCAGTGTACCTTGTCAGTAGATGCCGCTCACCTGCTTGAAAAAGATAAGATTATGAAAAATCTTAGCTGGTAAAACTAGTTTAGCTCCTTCTTTTCTACTTCTGTGTTTCTCATGGGGTTTTGTTTTCTGGCACTTCATTTTGAAATATTAATAAATATCCAAACGTCGTGACAGAGGACTTTCTGAGTCATATCCACCAGTGCTAACAGCCAAGACGTTCCTTTGGCTGTGAAGGTTTTTCTTCTGCCTAAAAGGGAGGATATTCCTGGGTACTAGTGACCCGCTGGGACAGGCACCTATCTTATTAATTTTGAGATGACTTCCAGAAGAAGCACAAGGTAGTGTAGCAGTGTGACACTTGAGTGTCCGCTTGTGTGTTGGAAGTAAGTGCAAACTACGTAAATGAGACATACAGTAGCATACATTGTGAGGCTTAAATGAATGTCCTGGTCTGGCAAGCTGAAGGAACAGAACCTATTTAGTCTTGAACAGAGAAGAGTACGGAGGGACTTGGTACAAGTCTGCAAAATCCTCAAAGGCATCGAAAAAGTCAGCGCAGCAGATTTCTTCAGAACGAACACTGGAAAACTAACCAGGGGACACAAGTATAAACTGTGGAATATGGAATGTGAAATGGTGGAAGTGCACTTAAAACAGCTAAAGAAAACAGGGGGCACTTCTGTTACCCAGAGAGTTATGGGAGCAAGGAAGACTCTACCCAGCCATGTCATTGAGGCCGATACTCAGGGTTCACTCAAGAAACAGCTGGATGAGATCCTTGCATCAATTGTGGCCTCCTCTAATTTCTAACTTTTCCTATGTCCTTGCCTTCTTAATGTTCTTAAGTAATGTCACCAGCTTTTGTGATGGTAAGAAGCACAAAGACTTTCGTACTCTGAACTGAGCGGTCTCCTGCGTCCGTTTGGATGCGGTTCAGTAGGGATTGCTCTCCATTTATTTAAGGGGATTGGCCCCAGATGATATAAATGATTCTGAATACACAGCCGCTGAATTAAAACTGGGAAGACAGAAGAAAACGAGAAGTGCAACATGATCAGCTCCATGACAGGAGAGAATTCAGTGCACCGAGAACAGGGTGAAATAAAAAAGTGCGTGTTTAATGTTTTCAGAATTCAGATAAACTGATATACGGAAAACAATATTTTAGTAATACCCCAGGAATGTTTTAAATCCTGCAGAGTCTGCAAAATGGAAATAGATTACTCCCCAGTGACAAGTGTCTGCAATTAAGAACAGTTCACTTTTGCACAGGGCCAGTATATACAGATCTCATAAATTAAAGCGCAAAATATTGATGTCATGCTCGAATTATACTATGCTCTGAAACCTTTTAACATTTAGGAACTTCAGATGGAACTGCTAATATGCAAATCCTCAATGATGCTGACCTGTGTTCTCTCTTCCTTTTGCCTGATCTTCAAAGACTTGCAAGCATGCCAAGTTCAGCCATTATTATTTGTCTTTCTGACTCACATTTGCACATTGGATGTATTAATGGGTTTGCAGATGTTCTGTAGGAGCATGTTTTTCCACAAAGGCATTTGCTTTTGTGGAATTATTTGTCCATGCTTCCTCTTAAATTACAAAAAAAACAAGTACGTGTGGCACGTTTTATCAGCGTCCCAGATACAGGGCTATGGTTATTGGCAGGGTCCTTCTCTTTTGTTTTGTTTTCATGAGCGTTTGTTTCTATCGCACTTTTGCTGTTTGGATCAACATTGACTTAATGGGACCGGCAGAGGCTGTTTGAAGTCTGAAGGAGGCTTCTCCCTCAAGGTCAAGTGTAGCCACAGCCATAATGAAGTGGAAAAAGAGGGCTGTTAGAATAGCTAATCTGACCCAACCGATGACACTGAAGTATTATTGCTATTGCTTTCAATGTTATTTGTACCCCTGCTCTGCTTCCTGCTGAGTAATTCTGAGTAATGATCCGAGAAATTATTGTTTCCATTTAAAAATAATACCGAGGGAGATCCTCAGGTTGAATTCAGACATTGATTAAACTTGTTATTGCTATGAAAAACATCTTCAAAGAGTTGTAGAATCAAGGATATTGTTAAAAAAATCTAGGACAGAGTCTTCAGAGACATTGACTGCTTTGGCTTATTTATGCTACAGGTTTAATAAATCATCAGCGCCTTTAAGAAGGTTTTCTTAAAACCAAAGTGGTGTAAATCCAAACTTTCTTTGTTTTGTTTAACTGCCTTCTTGTTTTTTTATTTGAGATTATTTGATTGATAGAGCTGAAGTTTATCCTAAAACATGGATATCTTTTCACAGCTTGGATGGAAACCTTGTGTGATGCCCAAATGGTTGTCCATCTCTTTTTTTTATTGACTTTCCAACTACTTTAAAAGTAGGACCCTCTATTATATTTTTGGCTTGTTGTTTTAAAATGTCTTCCCTTTTGTTCCACAGAATTCTATAGAAAGGCCTATGGTTTACAAAAGTCGGAGTGTTTTTGTTTTGAGAGTGTTTTGATAGTGTTAGCAACCGGTTGTGGAGGGATGTGATCAAGAGGGCTTCACTTTGATGAGGAGTATGTGCTAAGGAGAGAGGATGTTGCTGGCTGGAGTTCAGTCCTTTAGCAGTATTAATCCCTCAGGCCTAGCATGAGAACTGCTGAACTCATCTCTCCCAGTCCAGCTCATCAGATAGGTTAGCTGAGGTGGTCCAGGCAAGAAGACCAGATAATCCTGTGATCAGTCATTGCAGTACATGGATGAACTACTTACTGTACCTACAGTGCCTTTGTCTTCATTGAGAATTATCATACATACATTGTGTTTATTTAACTGGTGTCTGTTTAGACACAAAGGTTTTAGCAACCTGCACCTGAAATACTTTTTTGCTGAGGTGAAAACGTAGATGCACAACTTGGCACAAATATATAGCTTTTCTCCAACAGAAAGGCACATTTGCTCCATTAGGATACATGAGCAAGTTGTTTTGCAAGCTAATGATGTGATTTGGTGGTGCGGCCGTGTGTGGCAATCGATGTCCATCAAAATAAACTCCATTTTTCCAAGGAGATAATTGTGGTGACCCGTTCTTTCAGAACTTCAATAGCACAGTGTTTCAGAGCATGTTCAAACCAGTAAACAGGAACATTTTTTTCCCTCGTAAAAGATGTTTAAACAAAGGCCCTTTTGTTTACTTGCCGTTTGAACAAGCATAAATAAGGGCAAAAAAAATGAAAAAAGGTTCATCTTTCCTTCCCTCCAGCTGCTTCACATCTGCATCGAGGGCTGGGGAAACTGGCGCTGGTCCGACCCGTTCAGCGTGGACAACGTGGGGACACTCATCAGAACCATCCAGTACAAAGGCAGGACAGCCTCACTCATCATCAAGGTTCAGCAGCTTAATGGAGTGCAAAAGCAAGTAAGTTTAAATTTTTCTCTCGAATCCTGTGATTATGTGCACAAGCCTAGACTTTTAATTGTGTAAACCTCATATTTTCAAACCAGTAGTTGTACAGCACTGTCATAACTACTGTAGGCTTTTGAAGGAAACCTTGAGGGATAGACAGTACAGAGATTTTGGTCCTAAATAATCTCTGAATTATGTAGTTTGCCACATCAACTGTTTGGATGAGGAAATAAAACAAGCTGAATTTTCAGAAACTTGAATCATGTGCCACGGGTACTTTTATTACACTGAGTTTTGGATTGTCCAGCAGTGGTTAAAATTCTGGAAAAAGGAAAATATTCTTCGTCCATTTTTTAAATGGGGATATTCCGCAGCTACCTGGTCTGACTGTTGCTATAAATTTCCACATTCCTTCTCCTGGCATCACTGGATCCTGGCCTGTGGGATATGTATTGAACATTGTATTCTTTGGATCATTGGTGCCAACAGTGGGATGATGGAGGCTTGGCAGGCTGCTGCTGACACTGTCAGGTCCTTGTTTCTGTATCTTGTCTGACTTTTATTGTAGACTTAAGTTAGGTACTTCCAAAGATGAGGACGCTATTCTATTTTGTTACTGATGAAAACTTAAAATATTAAAAAATGGTCAACACCACTCAAAGTAAACTCAACGTGCCGTGTTGCAGTAATGCATCATATTTGCCAATCGGATCCTATTTACTCATTGTCTGGCGTTCGTCTTTAATATTATTTGTTCCTTACCGCACATTCAGAAAGCTTAAAAAGCTGCTTCTTGTGCAACCTAACAATCCGGGATAACTGTTAAGTTAAAACCACATGGCTAAAATGTTAGTGTACATGTACGTTTACCAAAGAGTTGTGTGTCTGCATAAAGAAGGAAAAGAGTTGCGTGAAACAAAGCGAAATGTCTAAGCCTTTTGCACACCAGTGTATACTTGTAAAAAGATACTGAGGGTTCTGTTCATCTTAGTGTAACTTGTCATCTAGACTGTTCAATGTCCTGTTTTATAGCAGTTCAACGTCCTGTTTTATAGCAGTGCACGTTCACTAAACTTCAGAATGATGCCCCATAAGTCCTCGGAGTATCCGGATGACCTGTTAAGGTCTGGTAAGATGCAGTAATACATGCCCATTGCTGCAGTACTGAAATTTTTAAACTGATCCTTCAGGCCTTCATAACCCGTCATACTGTAGGTACCTCCAACAGCTCTGGTTTAAGTTGGCCACTGCACATAAGTTTACCACATTACTCATATCAAGAGTCAGTAGTTGATCGTGTTACCTCAAACAGGAACATATTTGTGTTACTAGAGAATGAACCTGGACTTTATGCTAAAAGCCAGAATGATGATTAGTAACTTGTTTGACACATTTGTTCTTGACCAGAATAAGGATCATCATCAAAAGTTCAGAGTTTCTAATGATTTCCCTTGTGTCGTGTATTTTGGTCTTAATTAAGATATAAATCCTGAAAAAAATAAGCTTGGATTTATTTCTACCAGATTTCCCAGTATTATGTAAAAGTGACTATTTTAGTTCAACACAATGGAGATACAAACTCGTTTTGATGCTGCTTTTCATTTGCTTTCAGTATTTCAGGTCTTCAGGAATTAAGACTAGAGACTTAAATTGCACTGCGTTAAGTAAGGGATTTGAGCTCATTTATATGTTCTTTATTATACCTTCAAAAGAAGAATAACTATTTTTGAACATTAGTTAAACTGATGTCCATTTGTCATTTGGATTAACGATAAAACGGTTCCTAACATATGCTTCAAATAACTAAAGAATAGTTGCTTACAGTTAAAAGAAAATTGAAAACTGAAAATCGCAAAAGATTGCCAGTGGAGAAAGCAGGGACACTTTGTTGTGTAAATGTTGTCAAATGTCACACATGTCTTTCAAACTTTCTAGACAAAACAAGCTGCTTTACATTCCTGACAATTTCTTGTAAAATGTACATCTTGATCTTATTCACACAAATGACAGGGCTTGAGCTGCATTTCATTCAAATGGCTGACTTGATGACTTTAGGAATGGTAACAAACGATGATGTTGTCCTTATGATGTACATTTATAGGCCAGCTTTCCATGTAGTTTACACCACTAGGCATTTAGAAATGACTTAAAGTGTTACTTTGGAAAAAATGTGCTACTTTGTCATTAGCAGAAATAAATTTGGAATGTTTTCATCCTCTATGACATGCACAGATGTCGGATTTAATATTTTAAATGTACATATCAAATCAAAGCATCAATAATGCAGATCAAAGAATCACAAGAGGTTTTCAGTATGAAATGTGATATATATTGAAATGAAAACATTACAAGGTTAGTATCTAGCATGACCTTCACGTTCCTGGCAGTGCTGACACACAGACCTGATCAGCCTTGAGACAGACTGCTGTGGGATACTACTCCACTCTTCCTGCACAGCTGCAGCGAGGTGGAGAAAGCTTGGCCAGTTTTGGCCATTTCTTGTTGATGACGTGGATAAGGTGATCCCACTGATGCCCTACTCCACTCTGGAGAAAGGCTGCTCACGTCAAGACCTTGACATTGTTTATTTGGCATCATGTCACTGTAATCGTTGCACTGTGTGATCTTTCCAGTATTGTCCTGCCTGAAAGTCACTCTTAGACTTGCAGGAAAGAAAAAAAACATAGATTTTATCACTTGAGCAATGAGGTTGCCCTCATTCTGCTCCACGGATGTTCTTGTGTTAAGAGAACATGTTCACCATACTTCCACTGTCCACTGAGAGTCAAGGTAACGATCAACACGGTCTCTTCACGTGTTGTCTTGCATCAGGTATTTCAAATGCAAGCTGGCATTCATCAGTGATTAAAACAGTCTCCCACTCTTTCTGCCACCACCTCAGATATTCTCTGACCCACAGAAGACAGAGGTCTTTGTCTTTCAAATGCCACCATTATCCCTGAAAAGACCCCTCAGCATGCAGTTAAATTTCCTGTCAATGGAGAGCTGGTGTGCGAGTTATTTCTTCCTGTAGCATCACTGCTGTAGCCCATGCGTCAAAAAGTGATTATGGCGGAGCATCAGACAGTTGTGAGAGTCCTGCTCTGATGTGACATGCCTTTTGCAACACAAATTGTCCCAAACAGAGCCTGTTTCCTACTTTATCTTGACTAGTCTAACTGATTGTTGAAGCACAGCTTCAGGTTGCTTTTAATTATACTGACATTTGATCCTCATAACTCAGTGCATTTGTTTCACTGTTTGCATTTCTTGCATTAATTAAAACCATACCTCTTTCTACGACTTCTTATAAAGATCCCTAATTAACTCCTTTTGGCTATTTTAATTGAACTCAAACACCAAACACTGAACACCTGTTTTTTTTCTAGAAATCACATGACTTGAACTCCATATTCTTTTATGCTAAGGAGCAGTATTACTCAAACAGTCCACAAACTGACTGTTGGCTATTTAATACAAACATAATTCACATGAGTCATTGATGGAAAGTGTAGCCTGTTGTGTTTTCATTGTACAGTATGTGGAAAAGATTCACCATCAAAATGCAAGCTTCCAATGTTCTTTTACACTGTTTGTAAGGTTTATATAGTCATTAGATAATGACTATTTAGGCAAACTTTTAATTACTCAATTTTTGTAATATGAGCACTGTGATGTAATAGGATTTCCACATTTAGATTTACTTTCTGCAGATACAGAGTCCTCAGTACATTTCAGCATTGCAGTTGCACTTGCCACATTCTAAAAGGTGCCCTGAGTGAGATGTGCAATTAATGGTTTGCAATATTTAAGGATGAACTAAACAGGAGCATGAGTGACTGACTGCACCAGCACTCTCACCTCACACTTGTGACTGATGATGACCGACCATACCAGCAGGCTAGGGTAAACCACAGACTCTGGAGTGGCTTTACGAAGAGTGACCTGAGCTTTAATTCTCAAGGACACTGGGAGGCAGGAAAGGCTCTGTTTAAAAATGTGCAATGAAAGGACATTAAAATATTTGCTTAGGTGAAAACACTGTCCAAACTCAGCTATGTCCCAGTCCGTGTCTCTGATGGCCGTTTCGGGCCGCCGCCGTCTCCTCCGTCCTCAGATCGTGATATGCGGCAGGCAGATCGTCTGCAGCTGCCTGAGCCAGGACATCGAGCTGCGTGCGGTGCAGCACTACGTGGGGCTGGACGGCCAGGCGGTGGTGAAGGAGCACGTGGACTGCCTGGCGGCCGGGCGCAAGCTGCCCTCCTACGTGCTGGAGGACGCGGAGCTGACGGAGCTGTGCGTGCGCGCCCGCGGGGAGGAGGCCTGGTCCCGGGACGTCCGTCTCGAGCCGAGAGAGAGGGACAGCAGCTCCGTGGTGCAGGTGACCCCTCCTCTTTCCCAAGGGGCTGTGGGCTGTGGACTTTTCCTTGACTTCAGCTGCGTTGAAGTGAGGTTCTGAGGCTCGTGCTCGGCTCCATTAGAGGACTGGGAAGAGATATTTGTGCCAAGGTGCCAAACCAAAGCTCGAGGGCGGGTTGAGACCTCGCTAATTAAACAGCCAGCACATTGCGCGCAGCTGTAGCTGTGAGATTTTCAGTGAGATCTGCTCGTGTAACTGTCTTTGTTTAGAGATTCGCTGTGCTGCTGCTGTCCTCCTGTGGTTACAAGGATGTCCTCAGCTGAACCTCAGCTGTCCACATTTTAGCACCTTCTTATTGTGGAGCTTTTTAACCCCGTAACACAAAGGGTCTGCAGGACTGTAGCAAAAGACTGCAAAATTGCTCTTTTTCCCTTCCTTTTTTTTCTGATACGGGGTCACGCTAACCCAGACGCAAATTACTGGCCTGTTCAATCTTATCCTCTTTGGTGGGTCATATTGTAGCTTGAATGACAAGGGCCAGTTTTATGGTTTTATCTTGAAATGTAGAAGCCCAAGTGAGGACTCAGTGTTCCACAGATTCAGTCAATAAGTCAAGTCCCACAATGACCATAACTAGTTGTAACATTCTTTGGCATTTCAAGTACAGTACTTAACAAGGAGCTATGGCAGAGGAGAAGAAAATAAAGGAAATCATATAAAGAGCTAGTATAAAAAGGGCAGATTTATAGGTATAAGTCTTTTTGGATGATTTGAGTTTTAATAGCCTTTTATCCAGCATTAACAGTTAAAGCAACCATTTCACTGACAAATTGTACATCTAAATATAAGATGTTTAAGCACCAAGCATCCTTATTGTTTTTTTTTTAAGCCAGTGCAGAACATGTGAATGTGTTTCCAGACCATGTCATAAATATTACTTTAGTTTCCAAGTCAAATAAACACTCATCTCTTTTAATTTCCGTGCTTCAGGGCACATCTCCAGTAAGTCCATTATCATTGTTAAGTGAAGGAGTGCCGTCCCATGTGGAATTTCCGTTTCTTCAGGTAGTCAGAAGTCATTCTTTGCCTTTCGGACAACTTTGTAAGGTACTTAATGGTAATATCATTGACTTGTCCTAACGTAAGAAGATTCTGTTCTTCCTCTTACATGCCCAGCTGTATAAATGGGGTGTGATGCTTTGGATAAAAACGTCCTCCGAAAATATGAGTCATTAATCTATGAACAAAATCCTCCGCAGAGATATGAAGCTTATGAACTCTGTGTACTGTATAGCACAGTATGTGTAGTGCATTAGTGTACACCGGAGTCCGTAGTGTATAGCATGAAGCAGAGATAAGCTGTGCTGAGGCCCTGTGCTCTGTGGTCCTCCACGCAGGTGCCGTGTTCCAGCGGTTCACTCCTGTACGTGTGGTGTACCGTCGTTGCCATGGAGCCAGATAGCCAGATGCAACAGAGGATGGTGAGTGGATGAACTTGTCCTGCAGACAGCTAGTCAAAATATTCCATGGGATTCTCCAGCTGCATTGTCCTCTAAATCGGAGGGTCCCCAACCCAGGTCCTGAAGAGCCCCAGTCCAGCAGGTTTGACAGGTAGCCTTTAAATCAGACCTGCAGCAATTTAACAATGATAATTGAAGAGGTAAGTGTGTTTCAGTTCACTAATTTAGAGGTCATTTGGGACAAACATCAGAATATCCTTAAAAGATCAGCGTTCGTATAGTACATTGAAATATTACTTGCTTAATTGATGAGTTGCTTCAAAAACTGTTCTAATCTTTAAATAACGGTATATTTAGGGTGTCCTATAAGAATAACTGGACTGGGGATTGCAAAGACCAAAAGTAGAGACCCCAGCTCTAAATGTACCATGTTTTGTTGTAATCTTATGACCAAGCAGTCATAATAAAGCAAATACATGCATTGAATATAAATCTGTATAGATTAAATATAGTAATAAGTTTAAAAAAGAGTCACCATGCCTAGGTTCTCAAACAATCAGCTGTATAAAGATTACTTGCTCATAATTCCATGTGGATGGTGGTAAAACAGGCTAGACAGGACTATTAGATTATAATTCTTGTGGCAGAAATGCAGAACAAAGTGAGCTGTTTCCCATGAATGAATGATCCTAACCATGGCTAACCAACAGAGAGGTATCTGCCCTACTACACCATATGGAATTCTGTGTGGCTCACAGGTTACAGTGTGAGGATGTGGTTTTATGTAGGCTATAAAAATGTCCTCCATGAAGGATGTGAAGAAATGCACCTCAACCTTTCCAAAACATTTTTTGGGGTAATTTGACTTCAGGAGTTTATTGATGTATTTATTTCTTCTTGTTGTGTGAGTCTTCCTGACTGTGTGGGCGGAAGAATCCCAAGTCTGTTGCCTTCTCCCCAGGTCGTGTTCAGCCCGCTGTTCGTCATGGTCAGTCACCTGCCCGACCCCGTCATCCTGCACATCGAGAAGAGGAGTCTGGGCCTGAGGGAGTCCCAGCTGGTCCCGGGCCAGGGCCGCGAGGAGCCGCTGCTCAACGTGGAGTCCGACCTCACGCATCACCTCACTTTCCAGGCCAGGTACAGACCACAGCAGTCAGGGAGAGGGGCTGGGCCTCAGAACCGGGTCAGGGGCAGGAACCGGGTCTGATACAGGAACTAGGTCAGAACAGGAACTGGGTCAGGGGAGGGAACCGGGTCTTGGTCAAGGGAGGGAACTGGGTCTGGTACAGGAACCGGGTCAGGGGTGGGAACTGGATCAGGGCAGGACCCGGGTCTGATACAGGAACTAGGTCAGAACAGGAACTGGGTCAGGGGAGGGAAAAGGGTCTTGGTCAAGGGAGGGAACTGGGTCTGGTACAGGAACCGGATCAGGACAGGAACCAGGCCTGGTACAGCACCCAGGTTATGGGTAGGAACCGAATCAGGACAGGAACCAGGCCTGGTACAGCACCCAGGTTATGGGTAAGTACCGAATCAGGACAGGAACTGGGCCCAGAACAGGAGCCAGGTGAAGACAAGAACTGGGTCTGGGACAAAAACCAGCAAACCTAAATTAGCTTACCTGAGGCTCTGCCGTCTCTTGCCTGGAATGTGGGCTAATGTGTTTTTAATTCATTTAGCTTGTCACCAAAGATGTCTTTTTTGGACAACTCCAGGCTTTCAAGAAATGAGCTGAAGTCTCCTCCTTGATATTAATCAGGTTTTTGCCCCTTCATTGCTTTTATGCAAAGTCCAAACCTTTCTTCAGATATCTCCACTGCCATTACCAAGCTGCGTAAATACATTTCTACAAATAATCAATAATAACGAGCCAAGAGCTTCAAAGGGCAGTGCAGGAAAAAGTACAGATTCACAGCCACCTCTTCTTCAGCCTTCACTGTGCATACCAAACAGTCCCCCTGACTTAAAGAAGAAATACCTGAATTTCTGAAATGGCGGAGAGGGAATAAAACCGTCACCGCTGATCGTCCAGCTGCTGTTGGTTCAACCCTTTCAGACAGGGAGGCTGCAAGATCGTCCGACAAACCACAGTGGTCAGTCAGCCGCCTGGCTGGGCAGAGGACACATCCACTGGCACTCGTGTGTTGATATTGTCCAGAGGTTTGACCCCACGCTATATCATGAACTAGCACTGGCACAGCAGCTTGTCTTTGGAAGTGGAATAATACAGTATCCTTGTACTGTAAGTCCAAATCACAACATTCTAGGGGCACACAATCTCAAAATATTTTTTAAAAATCTTGTTGCGGCGCAGAAGTTTAGTTCTAAACCATGCAGTTGACTGAACACTGTTCCGTGTTCAGAAAAGCATCCCTTACCCCAGTCCCACACCGTGCGCACATGTCAGTTGCACATCCTTTATTTCTCCCTTCCTGAAGTTACAAATAGTTGTGGCCTTTAATTGGTTGGGGGTGGGAAAGGAGGGGGGGTACAGTTTAAACTGTGGTTACATAGAGCAGACAGAAGACAAGTTAACCAAAGATGTTGTGTCCCAATTCTACATCTTTGCACTCTGTCGAAACCACATATAAGGCTTAGACAAGAATCAGAAGCCCATAAGTGTTCTCCCAGGATGTCAAAACCTGTCAGCACACTGCAGTCCACTTCATTTCCTATGTCTCTTTCAATACTTTCTTTTTACCACACAATAGGATCTGTAACTTCCCCATGCTTACAGTATTTGTAATAGAAATTTTAAACCTCCTCAAAAAAGGGATTGTATTGAGCTGTGACTCTTTAATTCCTTTTGACTTAGGTATTGCGCTTTTCAAAACCCAAACTTGTGGTGTTTTGTACACTTTCATATTCATTAGGAGCTCATTTTTTATGCATTACAGATGCATTCCTGCAGCCTGTGTGCCATCCCTATGTAAAAGATTCTTATTTAATCGTGTTTGTCATTTCCTAGCTCAGTTCCATGCTGAAAGTTTGAAAGAAAGCCAAGCACAATGTGGAGCCTTCTTGCTTTCTACTTTTCATTTCGGGCACTGGCTTACTGTAGAATCTTTAACGTTGTAAAATTAAATGAATCTAAACACTGTGATGTTCTTCATTTTAACAGCAAAGACGTCTTCTCTTTTCCGTCGTTGAATTGCTTTGTTCATAAAGCATTGATTACTTTACTGTTTGCACACTGAGAAAATGGGCCAAAACTAGGTTACTAATTATACTGTAGGATCCATTTAAGCAACTGACTGGTGTAACATTTTTGCATAACGTCTTGGTACCTCATGGTAATAGAAGATAGTGTGGATGTAAAGGCATTTTTAGATATTCCAGGTTAATCTTTTTCACCCACATGTGTTTTGCTCTTTATTCAAAAGTGCAGGTAAATTGATCAGCGCAGGAAGGAGCTTTGTGCTTCCTGTTTCCCATGGCTCTCCATGTCTCTGTCGCCCTTTCCCCGGACAGGGAGGAGGAAGACGCCTCTCAGTGCGCGGTGCCCGTCTCCACAGCGCTCATCAAGCAGATTGTCAACAGGCCACAGGGGCCCAGTCTGACGCAGGTCCTGTCTGACTTCTACGGAGAGAAGAGTTCGTCCCAGCCACAGTGGCCTTATGTCACTAAGGACCCAGACAGGTAACAGCAGAGCATGTCTGCTCCTGGACGTAGCCCAAGAGAAGCTCAAAACTGAAACCAGCCACTGATCTCAGGCCAACCAAAGTCTCTGTAGGACTTACTGTACGATTTGACAGCGGACATAGGGTGATTCAGTGGTTTGCGTTTGCCTCAGATTGGTCTTCCAAGCCTGCCACCTTTTCTTTCTATTCTTGACTTTACATGAAGAGACTTGATTCTTGCTGCCACTGAAATCCTGGATTAAGTCTTAACAGGAAGCAAGAAAAAAAAAACGTACGTTTTTTGTTGAAATGTATAGGAAGTTTAGGGCTCCCCCCCCCAGATGTCTCGCCCAGTGAAAGCATCCACACAGAGGGCGAAATGAGCCCTTTGATGCAGGGCTAGTTGGACTGGATCCAAACCACTGGGCCGTGCCCACATCTTTCCCCAGTGCTGGCCTGAGGGCCGCTGGGATTGGTGTTCAGGCAGTTGCCATGGTGATCCTGGATTCTGTGCACTGCAGAACTCTCGAGTGTTGTGAGTGGTGCCTGAATCCCACAGTTTTTTTCTGTGTTTTTTCACCCAGAGCAGGACAGGAGAGGTGTAGTTAGACAAGCTGAACAACTGTTAACTGTACTTAATTTGGGAAAGAATTTTAAGATTCTTAACACGTAAGTTGCACTTCTCTAGATGGTGTAAGATTAAGATAACCGTGTGGTAAAGTGTTTACCCACCAAATCAAATCCTGTTTTTGTTTAAAACTTTTGAAGCTCTTTAAAACTCATTTAGGCCTTTCTTGTGTTGTATGGGACTTCTTCCTTAACAAACCATTCCATCTCAGCTTCAGTTAAAAACTGAACAAAAACAGTACCAACAGTAAGAACTTTTTTAGCAGCAGATGTAAAGAACTTCTCCACTCACCAAGTATCTAAGCTCTTAGTAACACCGAAACAATCACTACATCCAAACACATCATTTCACATTTTCTATTGGAAAATGTGGATTTTTTATCATGTGAAATATTCCTGCCTTTTCCCAGGCGTTGGTTCCAAGGGTAAATTCTGCACACTGGCTCATCAGTGGTTAATTCTGCCACGGAGATCGCAGTGTTTTGGATACATAAGAGTGGTCTGAGATTTGTGGGTCTGTTCTTGGTGATCGGGGTGTTGAATTTGGCTTCAGACCTTCCTGTCATGAAAGAAGAAACAAACAGTGGTAGCATTACCAATATTAGCATGTGTTGATCAGCTGTTCCTTCGAGGTCTTCGAATAACAGTCCTGCGTGCGGCGTATCCTGCCGATGACTCGCTTGTACTGTCTGTGGAATCCTAGGAACAGAAGGACTCTTCTCACACAGAATGAAAACAGGAACTGCTTTGTGCTTCATTTGTGTCCGTTCTCAAAACTGAGGTCGCACAAATAATTCTCAAAAGACATTGCATCATCCTTGTACATGACACCAAACCGTTACTTAAATGTGTCTCTCAAACGAGGTTTAGATTTCTGCACTTCAGGCAACTTCCTTTGTTTTGCTTTTTCATTACTGTGGGTATTGGTGAACAAAAATAATCTTTATTGTTGCCTCAATAATCCTTTGATTTTTTTTTTGTCACCCGCATTTCATCAAACAGTTGAAGTTTGAAGAAAGTTAATCAAACCGTATTTTTTTTTACGTCGCCTTTGATATTTAGATGTATTCTTTTCAGTTTCTTTTTGTATTGGCTTGTTTCTGTGGTCTGATAATTTATTCAGGAGTTGAAAGTTCTCTTTGTTGGAAAGGGCCCAGGAGCTTGTTCTTTTGACATGGAGACTGAGTTATTTGAAGACAATCTATTCCACTTGAAAGGTCAAACAAATCATAGGTCCTCATGTTAGCTCAGGCTTTGTTTTTGTTTTCTAAATGTACCTGTTTTTTTATTTTTTTATTAATTCAGAAAGGCTTTTATTTAATTAGTGTCGGTGTCTGCTCCTTTTCCTAGTGCCCAGGTATCTTCTGCTTGTGTTTATATATACAGTATGTGCTTATTTTGGATTGTGCTGTCCTCGTGTTCTCTTTTAACTTTTTTTACACCTACTGTAAAGCACTTAGAGATGTTACTTTTAAAGGCAATAATAATAAAGTAAAAATTCAGGTTTGTTCCCAATACGAAAATCATAAACCTGTGGAGGTCCTAGATTGGTAGCCCAGCACTATAGGAGTACTCGATCTTGTAGCTGTAGAAAGCTAAGGTAATCCAGCTAATTTGATAAAGAAGGCGAATCAAAGCCTTTTGTTTGCTCATCACATAAATAAGCAATGTCAAATAAAGGGATTGCAAAACCATCTCTCAAGGATTAGGTTTCGGTCCTTATTACAGCCTGCCTTCATTAAAGACTTAAACTTGTCATCCGTCCTACAACCCTCTGATTTCTTTGATTTCCGAAAGATGATGATTACAGGGGGGTATGTGTGTATGTGCACATATCCAGCTGTGTCTATCAGCTAATATCTGCCTTAGTCCCCAGAGGCAGGGAATGGTCTTTTGTCTAAAAAAAACACACATCTTGATAGCACACATGCTTTCCCAGGCATTGTTATAAAGAAATTTCAGTCTAGGCATGTTGACCATATGCATTTTTGTGGTTCTGTACCCATACTCTATGGGATAGTAACGTTGGAGTTTGTATCTCGTGGTTTGGTATTGAATTACTCTGTCATTCATTACTTTCTTTCCTGTGATTCTAACTTTATAACAAAGCACAAGGCTAAGTAAGTTTTACCATATATGTGACAGACCATATGAAACCCCAGAAAGCTACTAATGGTTGCCAAACTGTGCTTGATTGGAGGATTATTAGCACTGATTCCTATCTTCAAACAGAAGCAGATCTGAGATGCCGAGACGATCAAATTTAAAATAATGTATATTATTCCTAACAGATAAGGTTTGTGTGTCTTCTGTCTTTTTGACAGAAGTTAAATATCTCTATCTCACCCTCTTGGCTTTTTGAGTCTGAGCATTATGTCTTAGGGGCACAGGAAGCGTAATGAATAAATGTTATTTTTCTTTCTTTGTAGAGCTTTAATAATCGCAAAACATTTCAATAATCATTAGGCAAACATCTTGTAGCAGTTTTGGAAAAGTGAGCGAATGGAATCTGGCTGTAAAAGATTATGATTCGTACTACTGAAAAAAAAATCAGATTCAAATATGTTATTTTCATGATTGGATCCAGAGACAATAATAGATAAAATAATAGGTAAAACTGTCAAATAAACTACCGCTACCTAACCTGACTGACCTGCTTAATGCAACTTGCTATGAAAAGTGCACCTTCTGTTACTCAAAAACCAATTTGTAGGGGAGCACTGCTAAACTAAACCAAAACTTTGGTTTGGGTTGCTGGTTTTTGCTATTTTTCCTTTTTTCATTCTTCACAATTATTCTCATCAAGACTTAAAATAATAAATAATAATAATCCTTACACTTCTGTACTCTATTCTGGACACTCCACTCAAACAGCTGTACAAGTAATGGGGATCCCCTCCACCACCACCAGTGTGCAGCCCCACCTGGATGATGCAGTAGCAGCCAGAGTGCTCCAGTATGCTCACTACCCACCAGCTCTCAGTGGGGAGGAGAGCAGAGTGACGAAGCCCGTTCAGAGATGGGGATTATTAGGATTGGTAAAAGCCAATGGGAAATCCGTCCAGGACACTAGGGTAACACCTCTACTCTTTTCAAGAAACGCCCTGGGGTTTTTAATGACCACAGAGAGTCAGGATCTCTGTTTCACGTCTCATCTGAAGGACGGCATCTTTCTTACAGTATATTGTCCCCATCACTATACATTAGGGTTAGATTCTGCATTAGGACCCACACAGACTGCAGGGTGTGCGCTCAGATATCAGCTATGTCAGGCAGTTCTATCACAAGTCACGCTGCCATACTGGGGCGACCTGTACGGCCAGCATTTCCTGCAAAAGCAGGAGAGAGCGTTGTGATTTTCTCTCCGGGAGTTGAGGTCGCTCCGTGCTGCGGGGGGGGAGCGGACCCCTGCCCGGCTGTGTTGCTCACGCTGCCTCTGCCCTGTCAGGAGCACCGCGGAGCCGCTGGCCCAGTGGGACAGCCCCATGCAGGTGAAGCTGTCTGCCTGGAAGCCGGGCCTCAACACTCTGCTGATCGAGCTCCTGCCCTGGGCTCTGCTGGTCAACCGCTCCCAGTGGGACCTCTGGCTGTTCGAGGGCGAGAAGATCGTGCTGCAGATTCCGGCCGGGAAAGTCGTCATGCCCCCCAATCTGAAGGTGAGCCGCTCCTTTTCCTGCAGCAGAGGCCACAGGACGTGTGCGTTCCAGGAGCAGGCTGATGATTTTCAGCTGTTTTTTAGGAGTGAGAAGATGCCTTTTAAAAGCATTCAGTGCAGGAAGAATGTATGGTGTGTACATTTGCACGTGGTTTCTGTGAAAATGCTGCCCCAGAATTTGTGAATGTTAAGAGTGTTTTTCTCATCGAGCTCCAATGACATTTCCATCAGTCTTGCAGCCTCATGTGAGAGAGTTAAAGACACGCACGCACGTTAGCCGATACATCCAGTGCTGAGCCATACAATTTTGTTCATACTGAGGTCCTGGGATACTACTGGCAAAGGCCAACAGAACACAACTCTTGCTAATAAAAATCAGCGCTGCAGGCGCCTGGCCGGTGGTGGTCGCTAGTGTGTGGTGAGTCGAAGATCCCACATGCATCTCCCCACCCCTAACAGCATTCAGCTGGCAAAGGGAGCTCCCAGCAATAGTCAAGCAGGGGGTTGAATGGACGTGGCCTGGCACCCTTCAGGACATGTGCTGCCAAGCCACACTTAAATACATTGTCAAGCAGAGGCTAATGAACTGTGACTGGACCTTGCAAAACTCAGCTTTGCGCTGTGATAGGATCACTCAATACATAGAACCGGGTTACGGAAGCAGGAAGATTGTGTTTTCTTGTGTTCAGAAATCCTTATAGTGAGCTAAGACCTGCATGGAAGATTGCAGGAGCCCCTTGATTTTGACAGAAGTATTCTGTTTTATCACTGTATTATGCTCAAGTTGATATCTGCTAAAGTGATTGATTCCCAGCCTCAGGCACTGTCTGAACCATGTTGTTTCTTTGTGATGCATCTGAAAGAAGGGTGAATCAAGGCTGCATTGAATCTTGCTTTTGTTAATCACACGTGGCAGTGTCTGCTATTGATTTGCAGAATGGGAATAAAATCAAATAGTGCAGGCAAACAGCTGTCTTACGTGTATCCATCGTAAACCAGCGACAGCAGGTAGAAGTGTTCCAAAGCATCATTCATCAGTACTCAGACCCCCTTTACTTTCCCACTTCCACATGTTGTTAAGGCCTGGGCTGAGAACTGAGAGGGTTAAAAATCACCAGAATAAAAGCAGATAAGCTTGAGCAAAAAAAATCACAAAACAAAAGCAGTAAATGTGTAATAGCTTGTGAAACAGAAACAAATAAAGCATTGTGACCGCGGTACTTCTAGTTTATTAGGTACTGCCAGAAACCAGTTGGAAGTTTTTCCTGTAATCTGGGTCTTTTGTTTTAGCCGCTCTGTTTATATTATGGAACGCACAATCAGTGGGGATGAGAGTAAGCCCCCTCCATCGTTGCTGCTCTCAGCACATCTGGAAGGCGGTCCTCTCTTGAGCGTTTGGGTGGCCCCACTCAAGCCTGTCCCCCACCTGCCCTGTTCACCCTGCTGTGTCTGTTAGGCCCAGGCCTGTTACACTGCGGCCTGACAGCTCCTCAGACGGGTCGGGAGGCAGCTTGCAGCTCAAGACGCCAGCAGACCACAAACCCCTCCATTGTCAGTGTCAGGTGTGACCTTAGAAATGCCTTTATTTATCATTTGCATTGTACAGTGCATGCTCTCAGGATCGACAGCAAATGTGCACTCCAAGGAATGGAGAAAGTTACAAGTCTGAGGTATGGATGGGCTCTGGAATGAGTAGTCAAGAGTTCTCACTGTTCTGAAAGAGTAGGGCCGAGCCCTGGAAATGCTGGGGTACAGTCAGCTGGGGATTTCCTGAATTGCCATGCAGTCTTCAGTTCGGTCATTCAATCCAGTGATCTGCAGCATCAGGCGCAGAAGGGTCTCATAATAAACGCAGCCAGAGATGAGAAGAAAGGGGTGATGTCGTCAGCAGCCACTCAGCAATCGTGGCATTCCTAAAACTAAAGATCTCTGTAAGTCGGAAGAAACTGCTGAAAGATGGGCAGTCCCAATGAGAGCTCTTCCACTGTGGGCCTCGACCAGGCTGCAATCCCAATGTGAAAACCTGTGCTGTGCTCTGTAGGTTTCAGCTCTTGTCCACAAGCACTCTACAAATTGTTATTGTTCTGCAAAGTGACATAAGCTAATGTCCACGTGCAGACCAGGAAACAGCACTAAAGATGATCCTGCTCATTGTGTTGAGCCTAGGATTCTATCATAGCCTGTTCTTTCGTTTCCTCCTCTGCACTTCACATTTTGCCATTGCAAAAGACCCAAAGTGTCTAAAGATGTGGTAGTAGAGAGGCTGTCCCTCTATTCTGATGGCCTCTCTTCATTTCCGCAGGAGCCCTTTCAGATTGGCATCTACTGGGCCAACACCAACACAGTGCACAAGTCCACCGCCCTGAAGCTGGTGCATGACCTCACCTCCCCCCGCTGGAAGGATGGGCCGGGGGCGGAGCTCGTCACCCTGGATGAGGAAGGCTTCGTGGAGGTCGAGATCATGCTGGGCGCCCTTCCTGGACATCAGAAAGTAGGTGCCCAATTAGGCCTTAGAGAGGAAAAAAGAAACTTCATCAGTAAGGAGTTTTTCTCTAGCTCACAGGGGTGTCCCATCTCTTTTTTTCCTATCCCTCACCCCTAATTTTGCCAGACCTTTTCCTCGCATGAAAGTGACACAGATGTCAGGCTGGGTTAACAAAGAAAATTGTGCAACTCATTCCAACTCACAAACCTGATGCCGCAGAATTCTAAGCTTCATCAGTGTTTGTTTAGTGCATCTTGTTTTTCCTTCAAAACAAATGTGCCCTACAGAGACCCGGGAATTTCCTCTGACTCAGCACCTGTGTTGCACTGTATTTCCTCCTTGCCTTGCGGGTGCAGGGCTCTCCGTTCATTAGTGCAGATGTTAAAAAACAATGTGTTTGCGGAGTCGAAAAACAAACACGAAGGGCAAATTTCTCCCAAATGCTTGTTGTTTCTTCACTGTAGTTGTGCCAGTTCTGCGTTTCCTCGGCGGTGAAACACGGGATTCAGATCCTGCAGATTGAAGACAGGACCCTGATAGTGAACAACACGCCCTATCAGATCTGCTACAGGCCTGTTCTGTCTGATGCGGCGGTGGGCATGGGAGACCAGGTGCGTGCTGTCCCCAGACTATTATAGATGCTTATAATAAAGTACAGAGTCTTGAAGCGTCTTATTGTTGGGTCTCATACATGATTGCCTTCACATCTTGCATGTCAAATTCTTTTCCTTGGCAATCCTAAACTTGAGCAATTTCAAAAGGACCAGAAACATTAAGAGAGAGAGAGAGAGAGAGATAGTCAAGTGTACTATCTGGTTTTGGTCTTTTCCACTTTCTTTCCAATTTTGGCATGCTCTGTTCTGTCTTTTGCTTAATTGCTATAGACACCAATTATGAGAATGACAGGCGTTTTTTTTGGGGACATTTCCATCATATTATTTGCCCTTTTCATGAATCTGCAGAAGTGACACATTACCATTACCAGGTTTGGAGAAAAAGCTTTTGTTTTATGCTGAATAAAGCCCTGAGAGTTTATCGGGTTCTATGAGGTCATTTAACGATGCAGCAGATTTTTTAAGAAACGCAGGACTGTTGGCCTGTTGCCTCTCATTTCTTGAATAAAACAGTAATGCAAGCCACAGACAAGGTGAAGTTAGGAATTTCTCTCAGAATTGTGCACACTTTGCATTAAAGGCTAAACATATCATTGCATGTCACCCCTGCCACCAGTATAGGGGTAAATGGTAAATGATTACAAGGTGCTGGGGTAACACACTGCTCTGTCCTCCCTGTCTGTCTCCGTCCTGCTCTCCAGCCATCTGACGCTCCAGACAGTGCTGTGTTCACCCTCGAGCCCGCTGGCGGCCAGTCCTGCCCCCAGCCTGGCTCCGTGCCCTGCTGGGACCTGCTCTCCCACTCCAGCCTGGCCGGCGCGGACGCCCCTCGCCCTTCCAGGCACCTGCTGCTCAGCTCTGTGCCCGGGCTGGCAGGCCGGAGCTGCTGGAGCTTGCCGGCCAGGATCAGACCAGACTTCCCCAGGCAGAGCGTGGCCGTGCCGGCAGAGCCCTGCAGCCAGACCGGGATGTGCACCAGGTGGGCTGCGGACCGCACGGGACCGTTCCTCGTCTGTCTTTCGCTGGAGCACAGAAAACGCAGGATAATAAACGAAAGGCTTTGGTGGATGTGCCCTGTTAAGCTTTTGTGTTAAAACATTGACAAATGCCCTCAGAATTTCCACTGTCTCTGCACAGTGTGAGGAAAGGCCAGACATGCATCAGTGAAAAAGTACAGTGCCTTCAAATGAATGTTTGGCCAGAAAAAAGAATCTCCTGAGTATTGAAGGGATTTCACTATATCTGTATATATTTTTAGATACTGATGTTTTTTTTTGTGTGTTATGTAGCTGTATTATATTTTCTTTCCTTGTGCCCTGCAAGTGGTTTTAATAATTTGGTTAGCACGTCGGTAGAACAAAGAGGTTAAAGCTTTTTTGTTCTGTTTATTCCATTTAAGGAGCTGTCTTTGTGATGATGAAGCCGGTTGCCCTTTCTCTCTTGTTTCAGAGCTGTGGTCCTGACGTACCAGGAGCTCCTGGGCGTCACTTACATCACCCTGAGTGAAGACCCCTGCCCGCGTATGATAATCCACAACAAGTGCCCAATCCAGTTTGTCATGAAAGAGCATGTCAGAGGTAATTCGTTTGCAGCTCTGTTCTGACTTCTGCGAAGGCTGACATGTTTTTTGGCAATTGTGCACCTCGCGTTGCTTGTCTTGCTTCTAAGCACTTGCCTTGAGTAAGAAAGCTCCAGGCTATGTGTCCAGCTGCAGTTCATCAGCCCTGAATGTATCACTGGGGGTACCGGGTAAGGGGGGGGGCAGGTCTAGTCACACTGTACAGAGGCCCGAGAGAGATAAAACATTGTAGGCATAGCAGAAGGGGTCAGCGTGTGGGCCATGACTGGTCTCCATCACTCACTGTGACAGGCAAGGACCGTTATACCCACTGGAGTGAGTCTGCGGTGGTTTGTTTGTTTTCCCAGATCACATTTGTCCACATCTCCACAGCCCCAGTTCACAGCAGCCCCAGGCTAGAGAGTGCTGTTTCACCGTGAGGACAATAAAGCCCTCTCTCAGGAGTGTTTCAGTCCTTCACCTTAACCGTGCCCTTGCCCATGTGTCATGCCTTCACACCAGAGAGGCTGAGCAAGCTGATGTTTCACTTTACAAATACAGCCCTGTTCTGTTTAGTATGCAGCCTCCCTGTTTTTCTTTCTTTGTTGTCTTGACGTGTGATTTATTTTGAGCTTGGATCGAAAGGCAAAAAAAAAACCCAAACACATCACTTAACCAGAACAGAGAGATCAGGTCACAGCTTTGCATGAAACTGGTTTTTGCTCAGTCTTGAACTTCATCCTTTTGAAATTCCTTTGCAGCTTTTACCATGTTTGCCAGTGCTCCTATCCTATCATCTGCAAGCCTCATTAGTTTACTAATTATCAAATAATCTAGATAATTGCTATAAATTAGGGAAATGTGGTTCTAATACAGATCCCTGTGGTACTCTGCTCATCACGTCACCCCAATTGGAATATTTACCCCTTATCTGTACTCTTTGTTTCCTATCCGTTAGCCAGTTCTTAATCCGGTTGAATGCCTGCTGCTTGCAATTTTATTATTTCAAGTTTTGAACTAATACTGATCCTCCGTATACTTCATTATGTTAGGAAAGTGTCACCTGTGTCTATATTGTTTGTGTAAAAAAATAATTTAATTGTAATTTTATTCAATTTCCCGTAATAAACTGTATTTTTACATGGGTTCTAGTGCTAAGCCTGATAAACTGAATGAAATAAGGCCCCACCACATAGTTGTCTCATCTGAAATGTCCGCATGTGGTAATGGTTTCCTAACCTGTGAGGTGGAGCACCTTGCATACCTGAAACCCAGGCGTCCTGACATTTAATGTAATGCAGACAGGCAATCTTGGGTTTACAGGAGAGATGTCTGCTAAAAATGTACAGTTACTTCCAAAGCAAAGGTAAAATCCGCATCTGTGATAAAAAAGGATAGTTTCTCAAGACACCCTGATCACAGATCCTCTTTACCCAAGAACAGGGCAGTTTGGCAACACTACACAATAAACTCAGAGCCCAGAGTTGCACACTGCTGGAAAGGGGCAGCTTCTTTACCAACTTTCTCTTACACCTGTTCCACTGGGGTGTAAAGATTTGAATGTGTTAAGAGGTATGTGCAAGTGGGGACTTTTGAACAAAGTCTTCCTGGTGCTTTCTGTTAGTACAGTACCTCAGTACAGTTTCTCTCCGTACATACTGTATTTGGCAAAGCAAACATTAGAAATCAGTGTTATGTCACAAGTTCATGATGCATGACTGACACGGTTTCATTCTCCCATCATCCTTGGAGGCAGCCTTAATGAAAACATAACCACCTAAAAATAGTATCTGTGCCTTCGTACAGTAAACAGAATTTCATTAACACTTGGCACAGTGGCTTGCAGTGCTACCTCCCAGCACTGGGGGGCGCTGGGTTCAATTCGTGGGGTGCTACCTGCTATGTTAATTTTTTATGTTCTCCCCATCTTCCCATGGGTCACCTCCAGGTGCTCCAGTTTCCTCCCACTGTCCAAAAACACACTGGTAGGTTATTTGGCTTCTAGGAAAACTGGCCCTGGTGTGAGTGCGTGCCCTGTGACTGTTGTCCTGTCCAGGAGGTATCCCGCCCTGCGCCCTTTGCTGCTTGCCGTGATGGGCTCTGGCCCCCCCGAAACCATGAATTGGATGAGGCTGTTAGAAGATGGGTGGGTGGGCTGTCCTGTTGCGTGACTGCATGAATTAAACAGACCAAGCAGTGTGTGCCTGTGGACACACCGTGGCCAGACAGACTGTGGGGGAACAGGAGCAGTGATGCAGAGCGGTGTTTCCCCAGATGCTCCCAGGACGGAGGTGTACTGCCGACCCCTCCCCGCCGAGTCCTCCCTGCACCACGAGCTCTACCACCACTTCTCCAGCTTCCCCGACTGCCGGCACCGGGAGACCCTGCCCGCCATCTTCCTGAAGGCTGTGCCGGAGGGCCAGCACGCGGAGGAGTGGAGCGACGCTATCGACATCAACAGCCCTGGCACCCAGGTGACGCCAGGCAGCTCTCCTTCTAGTCTGGCTCTTCCACGAGGCATGCGCTCTATACACTGACCCAGTCGGGTTTATCCTCAAAACGAGATCACTCTTCGTTGTGACAGAGCCATTTGATTTCGTTACCTGTCTGTCAGACCTGGTATCACAATTTCTTCAGGCTGTTAAATGAAATTAGATGTGCTCTTTGAGCTGGTGCTCTTTGCACAGTATGTCCTGTTTCTTAAAGTGTTGGTCCTTATTTTTATTGGACTCCCATTTAAACCTAGTTTGCTTACAAGATCACTGATGTAAATTGGAAAGAATGCTGGTCCTAGTACAGATCCCTGAGGTACTCCACTAATTACATCATCCCAATTAGCAGTTTTACCTATTGTATACTTTTCTGCACTCAGTTTTCTATTAAATAGTTCTCGATTCGAATGCATGCATTTACCATGATGCTGATCGCCTGTACAGCCTTTGAGAGTAAAAGCATTGTATACAGTAATTGCAGTTATCATTATAATTACCCCATTTTCTAAATCTGTACTGACCATCCTTAACACTGGAACTGACTAAGTTGTAACTTCATTGTCTGAGATGGTGGTGTCCAGGGAGCTGCTACCTTGACTGTTTCCTGCTCCTGAAGTGAAGAAAGCTTGTTTTTGGTTGTGATTTTGGGTGGCAGTCTTGGGAAAGTCTGTATCCTTCTTCCCATGACAACCTGGGAGCAGTTCCTGCCAGCTCTGTCAGGTTTGTGGGGGTGGGAGTGTGGAGTGCACCCCATGAGTATGGGGTTTGCCAGTTCCTCCACCTCACGTTGCCCCATTTTGCCTGTGTGTTTGCTGCGCAGGTGGTGTTCATGCCAGGGTACGGCTGTGTGTACATCGACGTGTTCCACTGCAGCGGCGCAGTGACGATCACTCTGGTGCCGGAGGGCCAGGCTGACATTGTTCTCAACCGGTGCCACAGGTAAGGCACTGGACCGCGGGCAGAACAGCAGTCCTGCATTACCTGTCTGTGTCAAGCTGGGTCAGGTAGGGCTGAAATTCAGCTGACCTGCCACTAGAGGTCAGTATAGACCTCTTCTCACAGTAAAGAGACACAGTGGGTGAAGATTAGTTAATAAATTGGATAACTGAAGATGCATTCTCACATGGGTGTGATTTATTATGTCTGGGATGTAAAGGGCATTGTGGTTTGAGTTGGCAGTTGAGCTTGGAAAAGCTGGGCTCTCACTGCTTTTCTGATGAATTAGGGCTCCTTCACTCCTCAAGTAATCCTGAGGTTTTAATGTGTTTTAATGATCTTTTCAGCCACCTTGCTTGGAGCCTGTCACAGTCTCATATAATACACCACTCTTCTTTTAAAATAATAACAGGAGTTTCTCTGTTCACCATAATTGAGTACAAGATCAGTCCCAACTCTTTTTTTGTATTTTATTTAGTAAAATATATTTATATTCCAGTCCATTTCTCTAAAATGAATGAACCTTTCCTTTTTTAAATATTATGGTCAATAGTTTATGAATTCTGGAGAGAAAAAAATAGTTTCATCTTAAAATTGAGCTCTCTTAGTTTGCAATTAATATAAGTTTAATTTAAGTCTGTTTGCAGGTAGTCCACAATTTATTGTTGGAAAGTGTTTAACCACTGGAGGGCAGTAATGCCTGCCTGCCTTAGTGTCAGTGAACATCACTGATTTCCAGGGTTTCAAACAAAGGTTATGCACAACAAAGAGTCCACCAAGGACAATTAGCTGTTTATTTGTATGGGAGTATCTAGGAAATGCCAGTAAATGTTTGACTTTTTAAACAGTGGAAAAAGAAAGGCTAATACAAATATTGGAGAAATAGAGTAAAAAATATTACTATGCTTGAAAAATATTCTTTAGAACAATTTCAAATGCTATAGCCCCTTTGTTATGCTCAAATCAGCGATCCTCGACATTGGTGGTTCTTACCTAGCTGAGCTCATGCCCTGGGTCCGATTGTGCAGATCGTTGACTGCCATTGGCATAAATCAGCGAGCTCTTTTCTCGCACAAAGATGGTCCGCATCGATTCTGTTTCTCTGAACCGGCCGGGTCCCGTTCGCCTCCGTGCCCCTGACCCGTTTCCGCCTCGTACCCCGGGACAGGACGCCGGCGTCCGCCCTGGCCCTGAGAGTCCTGCTGAGCGAGGCCAGCCTGACGCTGCGCGACGACGTCACCAGCCCCGCGGGCTCCGTGGAGCTGCTGCGGCTCACGCTGTCCAGGGCGCTGCTGCGCGTCACCCCCGCGCCCCCGGCCCCTGCGGCGGATTGGCCGGAGGAGCCGCGGGAGGTGGAGCTGCACTGCGCCAGCCTCCAGGTGGACAACCAGCTCTACAGCCGCGCCAGCTTCCACTTCCCCGTGCTGCTGTGCCAGGAGCAGCGGGCGGACCCGGCGCCCTGGTGCTGGGACTCCAACCCCGCGGTGTCGCCGCAGGCTCTGGAGGCGTACAAGAGCACCTGCTTCCTGCGGCTCGGCCTGGCTCTGTCGAGTGACGGCTGCAGCGTGGAGGAGGTCACCTTCCAGCTGAAGCTCGCCCGGGTCTACCTGGAGGACACGTTCGTGTACTACATCAAAACGCTGTTCCACACCTACATCCCCGACTCCGTGCTGGGCGGCAAGCCGGCAAGAGCCCCCTCCGCCCCGGGGGCCCTCACCCTGCCCGATCAGGTCCAGCAGTCCATTCAGGCCCTGGTCCACCCGGTGAAGCTGCGGAGACTGACCATCCACCCCGTCAACCTGCTGGTCAGCATTCACGCCTCCCTGAAGCTGTACATCGCGTCCGACCACACGCCCCTGTCCTTCTCCCTGTTCGAGAGGGGGCTCCTCTACACCACCGCCCGCCAGCTCGTCCACGCCCTGGCCATGCACTACGCTGCCGGAGCCCTCTTCCGGGCCGGTGAGTCCCCCGCGCCCCGCCCGTCGCCCGGTCCACAGGCGTCCGGGAGCCTAGCCGGACATCGGGGGTTTTCCCCGCCTGCTCATTGTTCTTCTTTCATAGTGAATGAATAGAAAACCAAACCCCGTAATCCAGTACCAGCTTGACGGCTCAGCATCATGCGTTCTGTCCCAGGTGCTGTCACAGCTTTCTCCACTCTGAATCTGTGTCTTGTGAGAACAGAATTTGAGTATTCAGGGGGAGAGGAGTTAGAGCCTCATTACGTAGAGGATCAGAGCTCAGTCTGGAATATGGTGGCAGTGTGTTCTTTTGACGGTACATAAAGTCAGACCAAGGTAAAGCTAGATAACTGGTGTTCCCCTTTGGGCTGTGCAGCAGTACCTTCACAGAAAGCAGACTATTTTGATTTAGATTTAGGTAATCGGAAGATGTCGTAACTGAACAGGGGTTGAAGGTAGGCCTGTCTGTAAGGGTGTCTGATGTTGGTAGTGTAGAAGGGAAGATTGCATACATTTACTTTGAAATAGAAAATCCATGGTAAAGCAAAAGTGGAATTCTGTGCACAGTATACATGCACAGTATACATGTAGGTTTTGACATTTTAAATGCACGTCTGTTGTCCTACAAATAAGCAGATAGTTTTCCAGAAATTTGCATGCCCAAATGAAATATTTCTTGGAGGGCATGTGAGCTTTATCTGCAGTGTTCCATGACTCTTTCTAGCCCTTGCTGACTAACTCACACTTTTATAACATTTAACCCACTTATCCACCTCAGAAATCATTCCCATGGCTAACTGGACCTTTTTTATCGTTAGGACCTGTGTTTCATGCATCATAAAGTTCGGCCTCTGTGTTTGGACAAAGCTTTTTTTCCCCGACACAGAAATACTTTATGTTACTGATTAAGTTTTCTTGGACATCTGTCATTATGTGAGTAATAAACACCATCTTCTAAGAAGACTTTATAGCAGAAATGCCACAACTGTAAGTCATCAAAAAGGCTATTAGATCATAAATATCAGCAAAAAACAGATATTAGAAAAGTGAAAAAATGGCCTGCTATTAATTTTCTAAAATATAGATATTTGTTTAACAAAATTGTATTTACAATCTGCAAATATTGATGTATTGACCTACTGGAGTGCATATAAAGCAACAGAGGGAGGGTGATGTGAAGTCAGAACTTTATAAATCAGATTTCCTATCATTCATGAATCTGTAACAGATGTAGAATTATCCTGTGATCTAAAACAGAAGAATTTAAACCATAAGAGAAAACCACAAAGACTGTCTTAAGGTTTTCTGCAAGCAAGCTCTGTATCTGTATTTATTGTAGAATAATGATGGATGATAATCCAAGCTGTGCCAGTGAATGTGTCACGGTGTAGTTGTTTTGCGTGCCTATGGGAGTGTATCAGCAGCTTGCCCTTACAGATACGTGTTATGAGCGGCTGGCAAGCTGGGGGATTCTGGGGCGGTGTTACTGTGGCCCCAGTCCCCCGCCCCAGCGGTGGCACAGATCGCACCCAGGTCACCGGGGGTGACGGGATTCCCATGAGGCCGTGTGAAGGTGAGAGGCTGACAAGTCCGTGTGTTCCCACAGGCTGGGTGGTCGGGTCGCTGGAGATCCTGGGCAGCCCCGGGAGCCTGGTGCGCAGTATAGGCAACGGCATCGCCGACTTCTTCAGGCTGCCCTACGAGGGCCTGACCCGCGGGCCCGGGGCCTTCGTCAGCGGGGTCTCCCGGGGGACCACCTCCTTCGTCAAGCACATCTCCAAAGGTACGCACCGCACCCCAGCGCCCACAGGGGTGTCTCCATCGTTGGCGCGTGTCCCGCCATCTGCAACCCGTTTCTCTTAGCATGTGCTGAAACTGTCCGCCCGCCGGGAATCACGGGAAAGGATGGGAATCATCGCGTTGCAGATTTAGAGGCTGTAAAATTCAGGGTGTGCAGTAAATAATGGGGACGAGGGGCAGCCGGGGTAGAAAGTTGTATAAACATTCGTTTAAAAAAGAAGAAACATTTGCCAAAAACAGTGATACAGGCTGATTGCCCAAAATGTACCCTTTCAGTGTTTTAATATAAACTAGATAACAAACTTTGGCAAATCAGCAGGCACTCTATTTTTCCATTGCAGTGTCAGATAGATAATGATCCAGAACTTTGCCAAACTCTCACGCACAGACATGAGGATCCTCTTGTCAGCCCGGCTTTTTGTTCAGCCGCAGCCCAAAAAACGCGAACACAAAGCTGCTTCTTATTCATCGGGAGCTTTTCGCTTCTTAAATAAAGGGGTTTGATCGAAACAACTGAAAAGGGGGGTTTCAGCATTTCTCGGGGTGCTAAAAGACCCACAGCTGCACTTTCCCCAGAAGGACAGAAGCCCTCAGGTGTCTGGTAAGAGACCACCGCGGGGGTCTGCGCGCTTGCTGTCAGCCCCCGAGAGAGGTGGCGCTCCAAGCACATAAACTCATTCCCCTTCCTCCCCCTCCTCCCCTTCCTCTTTCTACTCCCCTTCCTCTCTTTCCTCTTCCTCCTCCTCCCCTTCCTCTTTCTCCTCCTCCTCCTCCTCCTCCAAGTCTACTCCTCCTCCCCTTCCTCTTTCTCCTCCTCCTCCTACTCTACTCCTCCTCCCCTTCCTCTTCCTCCTACTCTTCCTCCTCCTCCTCTCCCTCTCCCCCCATGCCGCTCTGCGCAGGGACCCTGACGTCCATCACCAACCTGGCCACCAGCCTGGCGCGGAACATGGACCGGCTGTCGCTGGACGAGGAGCACTACACGCGGCAGGAGGAGTGGAGGCGGCAGCTGCCGGAGAGCCTGGGCGACGGGCTGAGGCAGGGGCTCTCCCGCCTGGGCATCAGCCTGCTGGGTCAGTGCTGCCCATACTGATTTATCGTTTGTGTGTTTGAAGTGAAATGACATTGGAAAATGCCACTGTGTGTGGGAATGCAACACCAGTGAAACCCTGCCTTCCACGTGCGTGTCCTGGAGCTGTCTTGCCCTAGCCATTCCAGTCTGCACTGCAGTGAACAAGATGCTCTCTCATCCAGTGCAGTCGAACCCCCCAGCAGAAGCATTCGTATAGTGATGCCAGGGTGTTTCTACAGGGGCGATTGCTGGCATCGTGGATCAGCCAATGCAGAACTTCCAGAAGACCGGGGAGACCCAGGGCTCTGCTGGCAACAGAGCCAAAGGAGTGATCTCTGGGGTTGGCAAGGGTATCGTGGGTGTCTTCACGAAGCCTATTGGGGGCGCCGCCGAGCTGGTGTCGCAGACTGGATACGGTAAGGGCTTCTCTGTGCTTGACTGGCTGACACGTTTGTAAACAGGCAGGCCAATACGTACGGAATTCTGTCGGAGAAATGCTCCCATCAGCAGCAGTGCCGCTGGAGAGAATTCTCTGACATGATCTTTGTACTGCCATTCTTGGCACAGATATCTTGTTTTGCACTTTATGAGCACTACAAAAAAAAAATCATTTCCCTGTTTTTTCCTAACTTTCAGCACCCTCTCCTGATTGATTTCTGCCAAAAGATCTCCGAAGTCTCAGTTCTCCAGGAGTCTTGCAGACAATAAATATGATTCCTGTGTTTAAACATGAGACACGAATTGTGCAGTCTGAGTGTCGGATCAGCTTTTTGCAAATATACTTATCATTATCATTCCAAAGGGCAATTGAGCAAAACTCTCAAGGTTCTAAATGTCTGTACAGAATAAAGGTTTCTCTTAACACTTACCAAAAACGTGCTTAGTACAATTTGCAGCTTCAAAGAAATGCACTGCAAAGCCTTCTTCAATTTCTGTACCAATTTAACATAGGATTGAAACATTTGTTTATGATTTATTTAAAGTACAAAAAGTAGGCTAAACCTAAAAGTTAAAATAAATAAATCAGCTGAAGTTGCTTTTCATTTTTTGGCCTGGAAGCTAGAAATGTTTATAAGCTGTGCTTTCTGTTATATTGTGCTTTTGACAAAGACATTGAAAAGATGAATGACGTATTAAAGCTGGTTTGATCTTGTGCATGGTCTGGAGGAAGTTTGTTTTTTATTGTGGAGTCTAGTGCTGAACAGGACTGCGGTGCTAACAGGTCAGTATTATAGTACATAAATTGCAAATGAAGTGTGATTCCATTTGAGACTGATGGCTCTCTGGGGTCCGGTTTTAGTCTCCTAGCAATTTGCATTCCTAGCTTTGGAGTGTTCATTTTTTTATCCCTATCTAATGCAAGGTCCTGGAGGTTAAGTGTGCTGTTGTTGCATGGTAGCAATAGCAATGAATTACTCCCCTCCTGCCTATTCCAGAGCATTGACATCATTGTGGGGTTCTGAGCGTGCTTTGTGAACCGTTCAAAACTCATGACATGGGTGTCACTCAATGACTGGGTGAGGGAATAGCAAAAAAATAACGATTCAGTGTACATTTGTTGTATCTTTGTTTTTTTTAAATACATTTTCAAGGGATCCTGCACGGGGCTGGTCTTTGCCAACTTCCTAAACAGCTCTACCTTCCAACTGAGCTGAAGTCTTCCCAGGCTCCCAACAGCCACGTCAAATACGTCTGGTAAGATCACCGCCTGGCGACCCAACAACGGGCGTTTATGTGAGGTAGCCAGGCCTGAATTTCATCATTGCATGAAACGTTTTATAGGCTTTCTGGGTACGTTTTAAGACACGGAATCATTAAGGTTTTTACATTTTTATTGCGACCTTATCCAGGGACGTTTCCCTCATCTTGCAGATTGAGCATCTCTGCGAGGCAGAGCGAGTGCGGTCACATTAAAAGCATTTGTATGAGACAGACTGGTGTCACTGCCAACCTCAATTCCCCTTCGCACCGCAATGAGACCTTTGAGTGCTTAAATACAGGGAAGGGAACTGGGGCTATAAAATTGTTATTGAGCTGTATTGTTAATTAAATAATGTATTGTGTGGGGAGTTGAGAATGGGGGAATGATAAAATACAGACACACACTGCATTCCCATGTGAAGTAAACAAGAGAAAAGAGCTGGGAAAATGTATACTAGAACAAGCTCTCCCACTGAGGCAGTGCTACGTGACTCCCGCTGGAGGGTTTTTGAGTGTTTGGCCTTCAGTACAAGAAGCTATACGCTGTTTGAGTGTCAGAATTTAAAACAGCGAATTTAAAATCAGTGGAAGAGCAATTCAAGAGAAAAAAAACTGCTACAGAGGTTTAAAAGTGATAGGAAATACCTCTTAATGTTGTTATAAGGATCATATTAAACTAGGTTTTTTAATATTATCAAAGTTAGAAAACGGTTGCTACTCGTTGGTCCAGCCACTGACAACCTGTGCTTGGAGTGGATCTGCCAGTTCAGATTCAGGGAGTGGCACAGCCAGGGGAAGCCTGTGAAACCGTGGGGCGTTCTTGTGTTTCTGTATGCGAAACCACAGGAAGATGCTGCAGTCCCTGGGCCGGCCGGAGGTGCACATGGCGCTGGAGGTGACCATCGTCAGCGGCTCGGGTCAAGAGCACCAGGGCTGCCTGCTGCTGACCTCCGAGGTCCTGTTCGTGGTCAGCCTGAGCGAGGACGCCCAGCAGCAGGCCTTCCCAGTCACCGAGATCGAGTGCCAGCAGCAGCCTGGCCCGGACAGCCCGCTCAGGGTCATCCTCAGGCAGCAGCGGGTGGCCTGTGACTCTGAGGTAAGACCCCTGCGGGTACTGGGCACTGTCTTCAGCTCTGCCACCCGCGAAACCACTCCGCAAGGGGAATATGATACGTGCCAGTCAAGCTACTAACCAGCTGGCTTAGCTCAATAAGAGCCGCGTTTGGAATAAAAACCCACAGATACACTGGACCTCTGGGACCAGGATTTAGACAACCTCAGGTTGTGTAAATTCTCAGTGCATGGGCACAGCGTTACTTTCTGTCCATGGTCATGTTTTCTAAGTAGTACCAAATGTGGTTCAGGCATGTGTGCTGTAGTTTTGTTAGTGGGTACTGTGCCACAAGGTGGAGAGGTGGTTAGTGCAGATTAGCTGTAGCTTCAGTGCTGCACTACAGAATTAGGCTCTTAAGGGGCTGATAAGGGGTGTAAAATATACACTGTAGTACAAATATGTATATCAGTTGTCCGCAACATGTGCCATGAGTTCTATGTGATTACAAACTATTTCAGTGTGTGACGGGAGAGTAGGTTAGAGTGAGGTGCCGCTGGTGTCAGGTAAGCAACCAGAATTTATAGTTTCAGACGTGGAGTTGATATAAAGATTAGGCCCCATGACCTCAATAATCAATCATGGGTGGTGTGGTGGCGCAGTGGTCAGCATTGTTGCCTCACAGTGCTGGGGCCCTGGGTTCAATTCCTGAGGTGCTCTCTGCATGGAGCTCTCACTGTATTTGTGTGGGTTTCATCCCAGTGCTTCATGCTGGTACAGTAAGTAGTCTTCTGGGGAAAACTGGCCTTGGCGTGAGTGTGTGCGTGTCTGTGTGTCTGGATGGTGTCCCACCCAGGGTGTACCCTGCCTTGTGCCCGTTGCTTGCTGGAATAGGCCCAGGCTGTCCCGCCACCCTGTGTGGGACGCAGCGGTCAGAAGATGGATGGATGGACCTCATCAGGCTGCTCTCCCATGACGGCCTGTGCTGTGCTTCCCCGCAGGGTGATGGCAGCAGGGAGCGCCTGTCGGAGCAGCAGTACAGCCGGCTGGTGGAGTACATCACGCGCACCTCGGCCCTCGTCGCGCCCTCCGGCGCCGCCCAGCCCCAGCCCCAGCCCCAGCCCCAGCCGGTAGCGGCTGAGCCCTCCCCGACTATCGTCAAGACCTACACCTACCTGGTGGAGCCTCACTTCGCTCGCGTCTTCGTGAGCAAGTTCACCATGGTAAAGAACAAGGCACTGCGCATAGGCTTCCACTGACTGCACGAGGCGGCAGAGCTTTCAAATTCAAACACGACACGTGCTGCTTCCTAGGTGGTCTTTCGTGGTTCTTCTAACTGATTCACAAACCTGTTTCCGAGATTGTTTACATGCACACACGTTGTGTTGCACCTTCATTTGGTGAGATCTAACTGCAGAGTTGGACTGCCAGCTCCGGAGATGACTGCCAATGTTTTACTCACGAGCAGCTGACTTGCAAGATAGGAGGACCCATCCAGAAACCATCACATCTGAACGATGGAGGGACGGCAAGTCTGCATTTAAATGCTGCCAACACCTCCTTGGTCTGGATTCTCAAATATATGTCAGGAAAATGTACTTGTTTGATAAGATAAAGCCAGGTCTTCTCGCTGGTGAAACTTCCTGTTACTGCACACTCCTGCAGTGTTGGCAAAGCTTATTTGAGATTGGGCAGAAACCTTTGATTTTACCATTTAACGCCTACAAGTACTGTTTACCAGTACCTGTTATCATGTGCTAATGCATTTAAATCGCCCACATAATGACTGCTGCAAAGGAAAACCTACTAAATGTGTAATGGAAGTTTCTACCAAACTAATTGCAAATTTAAATTTTATCTGTGCAACACAAGTTCAGCTACCCCGAATCTGTGAAAAGTTAGTTTATACTACAGCACTATATGAAATACTATAATATTCATCTCAGACTGCTTACTGATATTTGATTACTTTTTATCTCGTCTTTCCTGAAATGTCTAGAACTATCCCGTTTTATGTAAAAAAAAATCACATTTTGTAAACCATCTGAGTTTTATTTGCATATGTAAATTCTATAAAGATTATATTAAATATTTAATGCTAATAAAATAAGGTCTCAGAATTTTATTACGATTATGATTTTAGAAGTCATGTCATTTACTTCTCAATGAAATCTGGGAAAATATGGCACAACTCTCTCTGACACACACACAATCTCATCTTACACACCACTGAATTCAGTTTCTCCAAGCTTCGAGATTCATTATTCAATATTTTTAAAGCCATGGTTTTGGAGGAAAGAGACAATTGTTATACCTAGAAAATACCACTACATATCAAACCCAAGAAAAATTGTCACAAGTGTTAATGATGATTACAGTGTGGCATTTTAGAGCCTACTAGTGCTTTATGAGTTTTCCTTAAATTGAAATTTTAAAAGAGCTAATACATGCGTTTGATATAATGGAAAGGCTTTATACAATCCATCTATTAAATGCTAAAGGGTGTTACACTCACCTATGAGTTACAAAATATAAAGCTCACAGATACAGTTGCTGAAAACATTTAAAAGTGAAGTTTTCAAAGTATACGACAGAAGACCACTTTGTGAAAAATGATAGTTCTCTTTCCAGTTGCAGTCCCTGTGAGGTGTGGATTCAGTCCCTGGTCTTCTTTCTCCTATCCTGGAGGAAATAAAATGCTAGTTAGCATGTGTTTTTAATTCTTTATGAACCAGATAAGTCAGTTGAAACCAAGGAGCCACTGGCCCGGCTGGGATCTGAACCCACAACCCAATGGGCAGCTGTCCAGAGCCCAAACCACTATTCATGTTTGACATAGTTCTTCAGTTTGAGATTAGCAGAAATTAAAGCTCATGCTCAATCTTACAATTAAGAAATACACTGCCTTGTAACTCTTCAAATTTGTGCCTTAGGGTTTCTGTGACTTAGGCATGCAATTACCAGTACAGGACCACTAGACGGAGCTCTAAGCTTAGGTGAAATCTTTTTTTTCCACTTCAGGCAGTGTACAGTATGTCTTAGTTGCTTGTGGCTCTGTAATAAAATATCCAGAGCAGAAGAAACTAACTGTTCTTTAATGCATGTAATTGCCTTTTTGTATATAATTTGTCATTAAAGAGGTATACATTTTAGGCGCATTCATGTAAAAACTAAAATGACTCTATAATTGTAGGATAGCGTTAATGACTTCAGTGAGATGAAGGCAAGCCATGGTAAGGGTTGTCAAACATGTTCAGCCCAAACAAAAAAGAAAACAGGATCTGGATAACGTTTATAGCTTCAAAGGCCTGTCAAAGCCACATACAATCAATCTGGTGTTCACCAGAGCACTAAAAGGAAGTTCAGTCTTTACAAACGCAATCTTTGTTATACAATACCCTTCATACGTTCCTGTCTAAATAATATAGTATAATATACAGAAATGTGGATTATCCGTAACCATGTTGTAGGTGTACCCTGTACTTAAAGCCAAAAGTAGCTCTTATGCTTTATTTTTCCCTTTTACAAACAGTCTGAAGAATTTGGTTTTGCAAGACCATCACCAGGAGAGAATGTTGAGCAAAGAAGCAGCATTGAAGTACTGGAGGTGCATTGATAAAAGTGATTGATGTTGTGGAGATAAACGTTTTTTTTTTGCCCAGTGAGGTTCACAGACTGTGTTTGCGCCAAGAAATGGAAGTAAAATTCCATGGCAATGCTAATGTGTCACTTGCATTCCAGCTGGTCCACTGCTCTGTATCCGAAGCCACCAGCTCTCCAGGAGGCAGACTGGAAGAATGGTGCACTTCTAAATAAAATCACAGTGTGAAAAGAGCAGAGCAACATGGCTTCTGCTAGGGGAATTTACGATGTAACTACTCAGACCTCATCTTTTGGAAGTGGACCTTTTTTTGAGGGGCAGAGAAACAAAACGATACCAAAAGTTTTGCGATTAAACACTCATGTCTCAATTGCCGGACAGCACATTTTCACTAGACAGGTCGGATCAGCACTTCACTTCAGCTGGATACAGGTGACGTCAAATAACATTCCCACGACAGTGAATTCTGGTATCGGTGGCATGCATTACCAGCATTATAAAATGTCAAATAATCTTTTAAAAAACAATGATAATTTTTTTAATTTAAGTATATAAACATAAATTCAATTAATATCTCATAAAAACAACCCTGATGTTCAAAATGTTTCACTCAAATGATTCCACTGCGTTACAGAACTGCCCATCACACCTGCGGACTTTAATGCTTCTCCCTAAGCAGCTGCAGGATGTAACACTTTGTCATTTTCATCCCATACAAAGCAGGTTTTACCTTGAAGGTTAAAATCTTGATTGCTATAATTTCACTCAAGGTTGACATCCTGCCCAGAGCTGTGGGAATGAAGGTCTGGAAGAAAGTGTGAGTGCGATCAGCAGTGGAGGCACTCTGCTAAGCCCTGTAGTTTTCAGTGATTTATGCACTGTGCCTGTTTCCATGTTTCCTATCCCAAACGGATACGGAACTCACCTGGCGATCAGCGAGGAAGGTTCGCAGCTCGGAGGGACAGGACGGAGCGGGGGGTGTGTTTGGTGGTGTCGGACTTGGCGCTGCGGATCGAGGAGGCATCTGAAATGAAACCGGGGGAGACAGTGAGGGGCAGTGTAATGCCCCACGTTGTTACCGACAGCCAGTCTAGTTGCTGCACGAGGAAGGCCCTGAACGATATAGCATGACAGGATGCATGGCACAGAACACATACTCTTAACAGATCTCATTTGGAGGGGGAAAAAACAGCACTTAATTGTAAGTGGAATGTAATCTAGTTATGAAATTTGAAAGAGATATAAAACCCTGCCTAAAGTGTTTACTGCATTTTGAACCTCGGGCGAATTAAGTGGCTTAGAAAAACACCCTGTATATACTCCCTTTAATTCCTCTTGAGCCGAATTTAAAGCACAAGTAAAAAACTCTCAGTGAGATATGCGAATATGTCATTCTCGGCTTAACTGTGATGATAATATATGGAAACGCTCCGACAGACTGACAGTCCGTAGAATGAAACCGGGGCGACTGCTTGGCCGGTCTGCCAGCATCGCTCCTTGCCTCATGGGTCACACCTGCGTCTGAGGAGAGTGAGGGGGAGGCGGCTCTGCTCTGCACGTCAGCGTAGCGGTGAAGTAGTGCCTCCTCCTGCTCCAGAGCCTCCAGGTACTTGGAGTAAGACCAGGACACCTGAGGAGAGAAACGAGCCTCTTGCTCAGGCTGTGGGGCTGGACAGGTGGAGGAGAGGAAATGGTCAAGAAATCCTCTACCAGCTACTGCACACCAAGACTCTGGACCCATTGATTAGGGTAAGAATACAAGATCATGTCAAACCTGCTGTGTAGCTGGTCACCTACAGTGCCTTCAGAACTATCACCCCCTTCCAGTGAAATCCCATTAAAAAACACACACATCATTTGTAATTTAACAAAACAGGTCATCTGTGGTAATGGGGGGAATACTTTTGCAGGGTACTCTAAATTAACGTAAGGAGGCAAAATTAAGGACAGCTAGCGCACTGCTTAAAATTACCTGATATTCTGTATTATTAATGGTCTGAACAACAGAGCTACAGCTGCCACATAACTCCAACACACTGCTGGGAAAAGGCCTGATCATGATTCTGGCCTTCGGGAGCAGCTCTATAAGCTTGATGAATGGGCTCAGCTCTCGGAAAGACACAGAGATCTTGGTGTAATTTGTATTGCCTGTTCCAAATGTGTCTCTCTCTTACTTGTTGGATGCGATAGGCTGGAGCCCCATTCTCTCTCCTGGAGTCCCTTCCTTCTTGGCTGCCACTGTAGACACTCTCCTCGTCTCCAAAGAAATCTTCCGCAAAACTTGATTTCCTCTTGGCTTCCTCCTGCTCCTAGTTATTAAATGCAGAAAAAGACCGGTTTAAAGAAAAATGTTTAGTTAAAGGAGACATACTGCACTGACTTCACACTTCTTTTCTGCTTTATGTTCATTATTATTATAACTGAGAGTACATTTGAAATTATTCTAACAGGTGACACTATCAATCATTCTTTTAACCCCCACAAAACCTATTTCTCGTAAAACTTCAAATGTGTTACTTGCTAAATACCTTGTACTATTCCTACTTTTCCTTTGCTGAAGTGAAGTAGAAATGTCCTGTCAAGCACATATATATATAGCTCCTCCTATTCTTTCACTCACCAGACAGCAATCTCACAGCGAGAATTACTTGCACAATACAACGCTATTTGATTTAATCTTTATAAATCAAGAAGGTGTTGTTTTTGCAATGTGTAGAGGATGGCTTCTCCAGTCCCGATTTGCATTAGTATTCTTAACATAATAAACACTATCTGGCGGTGACAGGCTAAGGGTCTTGATATGATCATCTCAGCCAGTTCAAGCTCATTGTCGAAATCACTTGGCACCAGCCTGACTCTAAACCCTGAAACAGGAAGCAGCGGGGGAAGATGGGAAGAGAGAGAGAAACGGGCACAGATGAATGTGTCTGTGTGTCTCACTTTGGCTCGTCTCTCCTCTTCTTTCATCCGGCGCTGCAGCCTCTCTCGCTGCCTCTCCCTCTTCCTCTCCAGCGCCGGGAGAACTGTCTCCTCCTCCAGGTTGCTCCTGAAGGCGCAGAACTGAGGCCACAGCTTGAACAGCACGCTGAACACCGTCATCTGCACAGAGATGCCCAAGGAAAACTCACCAGCTCAGATAAAAGATCAGTATGATGGGAGTATTTCTCCATCCAGCTTTTATTTCTGCCCTAACGCTGCATTATATTACACCCTGCCCATCACCTGCGACCCAGTGTATTATGCTTCTATCATCATCATCATCATCATCATCATCATCTGCTTTCTGCAGTGGGCTGAGACACAGATGGTGCTTCTGCTCGGGAAGGTCACTTGCGAGAGAACTACAGTCATACCAACATTCCAGGTTGCAGCTTCCGGTATATTCCCTAAGGGCTGGACCGCCATGCCTGACCTGTGCCTCTCTGAAGACGTAGGGCCCCAGCTCCCTCCTGCGCTCCAGGATGGCGTGGGCCTGCTCGGGGGGGATGTCTATCTGCACGGCCGGGGGGATGGAGGAGTTGATGAAGCAGTCGACGATGGTTGTCACCTTGCTCTGGATGGTCGCCTCATCGCAGTGCGAGTGGCACAGGTCCTGAAGGGAGGAACGTGGCCTTTGATCATTTTATTTGAAGCTGCAGCTAAAAAAAACACAGGACCTGGAAAGCAGAACATGAGGTAAGAGGGAGGAAGCCCTACACCCCCCTTTTTCAGATTTTGGGGTTTTAGTTTGACTTGTGGTCTCAACAGAAAAGTGCCTGGTGGAATGGAAGGTGGTCATCCTTCAGTGAAGAGGAAGAAAAGTAATCAAAATCTGGTTTGGGGTTTGGGGCAGAAGAATGTACGAAAAACCTAAGTCAAAAAAGAGGTACCAATGACCAGCTGGGAGAGCACTTTAGCATTGACACGGAGTTTGAACTCTTAAATTTCACACCTGTGCTCCTCCATTACTCATACCTGTAGCTCCAAGGATAGGAACAAGGGAACCGCTGTGGGCTTTAATTGTTGTTCAACATTTGTGGGCGAAGTGGCAGAGGACAGAAAGACCTGCATAAATAACCACTTGCTTTTTTTTACACAAATGCAACATTGTAGTGTTCTACTTCTGAGTTCTGGCATTACCAGAAAGCTGCTTGTTCCTGTGAAGTACATGAGTGATGTGAAAAGCAGAGAACCAAGGTAGGACCTTGCCCAGGAGGTGGCACTAGACCCGAACCCAGGACCCAAGGGCTACTGACGTTCAGTTGTGGAAGTTCTGTGGCAAAAACTAGGTGAATAAACAAAACTCAGCTGAATCCTTTTTGTTTACTTTTTTAGTTTACTGAGTTTTATCATAACATTTTCTCTGTTGGTCCTGCTTCCAGTGCGACTTTTAATCCCCTGCCTGCCCTGGTGGATGATAAGACAGCCTCACCTTGTACTTCTGCACCTCCAGCCAGAAAAGCACCCCGTTCTCCAGGTAATCTCCTTTCAGGGAAACAAAGCGCTGGAACTGGCGACAGGTCACGGGGTTCAGCAGGGCCTTCCGGAACGCCAGGATTTCCTTCGAGGACGTCGCCCATTTACTGTCGATATACTGCAGAGATTTGCATGACTTTGTCGGAGCTGGAAAATGTTTCGTTTCGGAAATTAAGACGCTGGCTAAAGGAAAATGACAAAAGTGCTGATGAATACTTATAGGACTGAGAGGCTGAGTTTATTCTCCCGTAAAAAATGGGATGTATTTTCAAGGAAGCTTAATCCACCCAGACAGGTGCGTATACTGTATTGCTCTCCACAGAGAAAATCCATACGTACCAAGGAGAGAAGAGAGGAACTGTTTCTATTCCAGAAACTTACTGAGACCTTTTCGTTTCTTTTAGCACTGTAACACTAGCTAATCCACTCTGAGGTGTCACTGCCAACACTTCCTCTGGAGGGGAAAAGCCTTCTACTAATGTAACCTTGAACATGAACAATGAGGCTCAACAGCTGCTCTTCATCAGCGCATTTAAAATAAATTAACCTCCACTTCCATTTCTTAGCTCTCACATTAAATACGTCTGTAAACGAGCCTTCAGGCGTAATTACAGACACCGAGAGCCCCCAGAAAGACGAGAACTGACCTTCCACACCTCCCTCTTCTTTCTGTGTCTCAGGAAGATCTGGTCCTCAGCAACGTCCTTCATCAGGGCCTGAAAAGAAGGCACACTCAGGCTAGCACCACACCGGCACGGCAAGGCTGACCAGTATTTCAGCTCATGGAAGCGATTCTGCTTTTTATAGGAGCCCAGTTGAAACTGGTGAATGTGCTAGAGACTCACACTGTGAGTGAGCTGGATGCATTCTGATACATTTCCAGGTTGATATCTACTGCTGCTCGTAAGTACAATGAAACCAGGTCAGTCCAAGCCTCTCTTATCATTGCCCTTCTCTGGTTGGTGGTGGGCTTGTTGCCACTCTGCTTTTTCATTCCTTTGATCAAGCTTGCCTAGTTAATTCCCTGCTCGCTGGGCCTCCTTCACTCCGATTCTCCCTGATCACCGGGCTCCCAACGGCGGGACTGCGCCGCGGCCCACGGGCCGTACCTTTGTCCTCTGCCTCTCTGCAAACTGGGGCGTGGCGAGGAAGAGAGGCAGCCACTTCTTCTCCAGGCGCCTCCTCGCGTGCCTCTGCACCTCCACGAGAATCGGGGCGGACAGCCGGTCGTGGAGGATCCGCCCCCAGCCCCCGCCAAGCCGCATCACCTGCCCGCACGCGGGACACGGCGCGTCAGCCCTAGGGAACAGCTGGATCGGGAGTGGTCGTACTCCGGACCCACTGGCAGCCACTAGAGGGCAGCGTAAGGTGCACTCCAGTGCCTTTTGCTAAAAAGTGCTTCTGCATTTCTCAAGAGGTTGCTAGAGAAATCAGCCTCAGATGTCCCTATAAAAGTGTTGAATACTCAACAGAGGCTGTCTATTCAGTTTAGGATAAACTGGTTAATTCTGGTTAAAGTGGAGCTGAAATCAAAAGGGTCTGTGCTGTCACATGCCAAGACTCGAGGACTTGGTAGTAGTTCTACAATGCTGTTCATTTAGGTGTTGGAAGTGCTAAAAGAAATACAATTGCTAAAGAAAAACTGTCCTCTTAAGGTCTAGAGATACATAAGTTCCCTGCAGAGCAGTGTGTGTGTGTTTTGAACCAGGGCACCCTGGGAAAACTCCCCTGAAAACGCCTCTGAGGCCAGCCCATAAACCTGTCAGCATTGTCGGGCTCGGCCTTTCCACACAAAGAAAGCTGGCTGTCGCAGCTCTGTGATTTATAAGGCGACCGTTCTTAACAATTTAGTTTTTTCTAGCTTGTTTTTTCCGTCATTAAAACAGGGTTTGTGAGTTAATGGAAATGTTAATCTTCCCTAAGTTTGTGGGGAGAAAAAAAAAAACAAGCTATAACTGAGTTGAGACTCAGGCACGCCATGATCCCGTACCTCCTCCTGCTGGTCCCTGGTTGCCGGGCTGTTGGCCCCAAAGAAGTACTTCTTGTTCAGGTATTTGTTCTTGATGTCTTTGGATTTTTCCTCTCTCTTGGCTTTGTCCTTGTGAGGCATCCTTCTGAACTGCTCAATGTCCAGCCAGCACAGCAGGTCCATACTGCAAGTGATTCAGCAGGCAAATTAACCTCAGCTCCGCTTGGAGGGATGTTGCCTTAGCAAAATGGTGCGATTTCAGGTTCAAAGGTTTGTTGCAATCAATACAGTACAATATAGTACATTATTAATTGTATAAAATATGATTTACATGCATTAATTGATTAACGATTAATTAATTATACAAAATTAGTGTATACATACAGTGCTAAGAAAACCCTTGTGAACCTCCTGGGTTGTTCCATATTTTCTGATAAACTGTCTAGCTTGTCTAGAAATGTCTAGCTGTCACTGCTTCTGAGGAATTCAAATATAACTATCCCAAGTCCAAATGTTAAATTTTGGTTCATCCAACTATTAACTAACTAAAATATATTTTAATATCTTATATATTTGATCAGGCTATTTTCATCATTTCTCAAGACTTTCATGAAGGTCTTATTACATTTTAGATCTATAATATACAGTACAAGAATATGGACGAGCCCGGGAAAGGCTCATTAACGTTCTCGCAGACCAGTTCAGCATTCATAAAATATATCAAATGCCATTTACATCTTGAGAGTTCACTTCCCAGAAAAAAACATTTTCAGTTCACAGAGTCTCAAACAGTGAGTGGAGGCTGATCTGTACACTTAGCTACAGATGAGTTTACAGGCCGGTAAACACAGAGGATCAGACGGGCATTTTCAGGTTTACTGTAGTTAATTAAGTTCTTGGTAAATCATGACAGTTTTCATCAACACAGAGAAACAGGATAAAAAGACTTACAGGGAGGAAGCAGAAGAGAGACAGAGAGTCAGACCGAAGAAACGCCAGTTTGTGCCAGTCAAGAAGACCTTTTTCTGACCAGATTCTGGCTAAATATAATGAACCTTGTTTAAGAGATCGTACCACTCGTTATTTTAGGACATTTAGGACACCCTTAGGCTAAAAACATTCTCTCCTAATTGGTGATACATTTTTTAGGCAGGCAGATTTTTTTCAATTTTAGACATCCAGGGAATAGGCAGGGTAATTAAGCGCTGGGTCATATTGTTTATTTCAGACGCAAGGTCTCTTGCTGGCCTGCCAAGGCATTATACAGTGTTTCAGGTTACAGAGCTAGTATTCTGGGTTTTTTGGGTCCATAGAGCATAGGCCTCTGACACACCCTGGTTTGTACATAGCTTAACATCTATGCGTCTGATTTATCTGAATTTGGACTGATTTAAATGTATTTCCCGCTCTCTATCTGTGGGGAGAGAAAGGTCCGTCTGACCTGGCAAAGTGCTCCTCCAGAAAGGTGCGGAAGTGCTCCAGTTCCAGCCGGCGGCGCAGCAGGGTGCCCAGGCTGTAGCCGCGGAAATCCTCCGGAACCAAGTCCCACAGCTCTGGCTCTCTGGCGACCTCCGGTGGTGGGGATGAGGGATTGCGATCGGGCACGTTCTAAATGAGGACAAGATACGCATGTTAATTTCGACAGAAGAGTAACTTCCTCACACAGAAGAGAAATGGATTTCCTCTCTTTAAGCACACAGCTGAGGAATTATCAGCCAGTTCTGCTTCCCAGCTTCTCCTCGCTAGCCATGCCATGATTTAGGCTTGAGCAGTGACACACCTCGATCCCTTATTGGAGTAAATAAATTATCCTTACACTTATATAGCGCTTTTCTGGACACTCCACTCAAAGCACTTTACAGGCAATGGGGAATCCCACTAACACCACCAATGAGCAGCACCCACCTGGACGATGCACCGGCAGCCATAGTGCGCACAGTACGCTCACCACTCATCAGCTCTCAGTGGGGAGGAGAACAGAGTAATGAGGCCGGTTCAGAGATGGGGGTTATTAGGAGGCCATAATTTGTAAAGGCCAATGGGAAATTTGGCCAGTACTCCAGGCTAACACCCCTAAGGAGGTTAACACTCTTTCTGAGGGAGCAGAAAAATACACAACGCTTGTGTGGTTAAACACATTACAGTTACTGAGTATTTTAATCACAGCCTTACCTCATTCGCTCTGCGCAGCATGTTTTCATGTAGGGCCTTCAGCTCTCTGTAATGGACCGAGTCCAGCTGACGAATCTCCTCTACTATTTCCACCTGGGGGCAAATAGCCAAGCACAAATAAATCCTTGCATTTTTATTGCACTTTTAATCTCAAAGGGTCCCAAAGCACTAAACATAGAGGACCCACTTCACCCACCAGTGAAGTGCAGCCCCCACCTGGGAGATGCCATAACAGCTGTTCTGCACCAGCAATGTAGCCATTCTTCAATCACTTGTACTAGTCTCATAGGATAATTTGGCAGTATTCAGGAATAGGTTGTTCCCACTTGAGTGCAACAAGAATACATGTAAGATTCACAATGCCCATTTTTGAATAAATAAAGTGTTCATGTCATTTGCTGGGAAACCCTGTGCATTTATTGGTATAAAGCTGTCTTCATACAGGGCACAACAATCCCCATAGGAAATGGAAACTCGATTCTGCTGTGAGTCTAACGTCCAGGTGTCAGACTTGTTGAATCAGTATGGGTTAAGGAAAAAGAACTATTGAGAGCATTTATTATTAAATGTATTAACACAAACCAGACTTTACTGTAACACTGCATGAAGACAGCAGTGGTGCACACATCTTGACAGCATGTGTTTATGCAGGAGGTCTGTGCCCTCTCTCAGGTGTGGGGGCTGATTATGTTCACTTTAATCTGGACCTCGGGTCAGGCTGTGGACCCTGGGGTGTCATAGAGGGACCTGGGCTGTTCGGTCAACCTTACCACCTGTTATCAGGACAGGGTTTCGTACCTTGTGGTAGGCAGCCATGTCGCAGGTGGTCATCCGTGTCCAGGGCTCCAGAAGCAACGTGAGGACATGCTCCTCCGCAGGATCAAATAGCTCCTCAAAGGGTGGGTCCAGCCTCGCGCATATCTGCCTTCTGCTGTCCCCACTCACACCGGTATCCTCCGGCGCTCCAAAGCATATGTATGTAGAATACAAGAACTAAAACAAGAGTGTTCAAGGCACACAGAGCAATATTACATCTTCGTGTTACAATCTACTGTTTTCCTCTACCCTTTATGCATGCTAACATGTAGTCTACTGGCCTCAATCCAATGCACAGAGAGGGCTTCAGGTCAGAATTGTGAAAGGCATGAGTCACGGGCGTTTCAGGTTTTTACTAAATGGCCTGACTTAGTGGAAAGAGTTTGTTGTTACAAATCACTTGCTCGGTGGAGGACCAGTTTGGCAGACACCCGTAGGTCAATCATACGGGGCACCGCCACTCATAAAGAGGTGCAGATTTCTCACACCCGCCCATGCCAGTCGGTTTTCTCACGCGAATCACTTGTAAAACACTTCATTTAGTCACCCACTTTCCCAGCTCTGCTCGCCAGCACAGCTAATATTTAAATAAAATTACTATCTTACTTCAGCTGTTGATCCACTCTCACACCAATAAAATAAATCTTAACTTTGTTCTCAAGCTAGGCTTGTCCCTTACAATAATTATACTTTACAAGGCATTTTTACCTGCCTGTAAATGGTGGAAAAAATGCTGTTTAGTTTTTTTTTGCAAAACAATTAGACATCAGTTTTTTTTTTTTTTTACGATTTGACGTGATGCTTCTCACGCCGAGAACACAAAATCTGTCCCTGCATTTCTTTGGTTTAAAAAAAAAATGCTTTGCAATTCCTGGCCTCTTGATTTCAAGCACTTTGTTTTCTGTCTCCACACACATGCGCATGGAACACCCCAGTGCTTACGTGGGCTTGCCGCTGCAGTCTGTAGGGATCGAGACCCTCCTGGTAGAACAGTCTGTGGTACTCCTGAAGGTCAAACCAGAAATGAATGCCGTTCTTCCAGAGCTGGAAAAGACACTGTGGAATGGGCTCGGGGAACTCAAGGCGAATCCCCAGTTCCTCAAAATACTGAAGCAGGATGGTCCTGTCAACCATCACATTTCTTGAAAACTCAAGCTGCAAAGATTTTTTACACTGGTTTTTCTTCCAGGAGATGTAAAATAAAAGGCAAAAATGCTTTGCAGCTACCTTGGGTATTGCTGGACATTCTCTTGACATACTGTGTGCTGCGAAGCCTGTTCAGCCTATGCATTATTTTTGTTTTATTTTTTTTCTGCTCAGCCCATGTCAGCTTGGCGACAGTACCTTGTTCCCGGAGAGCTCACAGAAGTTTGTGAAGCGGTGGCCAGCCCTGCGCTCATGGTGCAGGGCCTGCAGCATTCTCTCCATCCTCCTTCCTCCCAGTACAGGGCTACAGCTCCTGACAGCCTAGACAACAGACAGAAGCCCCTGAGACAGGCCACAAACAGGAGGAAGCTGTTTGGCCCATCCAGACTGTTTGCTAGCTATGGTTCAGTGATCCGAGGATCCCATCCAGCTGCTCCTTGCAAGAAGCCAGGGTATCAGCTTCAACAACAGGGCTGGGTAGCTTGTTCATACACTTCTCTCTGGACACAGAAGTGTTTTTGCTTTTAAACGCACTTCCACGTGGTTTCCACTTGTGCCCTCACGCTTATGGTGCACCGTTCAATCTGAAGTGGTCTTTCCTCTTTCCTCTGCGCTACACAGCAGCACTGTCTTGGCAAGACCACACACAGCCATTAATTTATTTAAGGGTGTGGTGTAATACGGGCTACCACAAGACTGGTTATAAAGTGTCGAGAATGGGCAGGATGTAAGTTAAGATACTATTTAGGTGGCAGGAGAGTGTTACTTTTGATCCATTAACAGATAAAACTTGAATTCTACAGTAACTGCTGTCTAAATCTGGATACTACTGCAAAAGAAATAATTCATCACACTGGAGTTTCTCAGGTTTATATCGGTTAAGAGCAAAACTGTCCTCAATTTAAGAAGTGACGCTGCTGCAAAGGTAGCCTGAAAA